GGGTGTTTTTCCTTTACCTCGATGATGGACTCCTAAGGGCTTTGGAATGTATGGAGCGGCCAATAGAACGGAGCCGATCCGACCCCAAACTCTGACGACATCAATTACTATTATTATTAGTGTTCGCACTCGATGACGGGAGATTGCGAGAAATGTCATCGAGCTCTGCAGCCGTCGTACTTCGGTCGTGATTCTCCACGATTGAGTCGGAGCCGCCGGATCATGATAAACTTCCTCATTCTTGTAGCTTGAGGAAGTTTTGGACTCCTTGCCAGCGCTCGTATTCGGGTGTTTGCCCGACCGAGGAGCTTGGCAGAGAATTTATTTTTGATCTTCGTTTTGCCATTTCTATACGGCAATCCAAACAATACTCGTCGTCCACCTTGACGGGGATGGGAAGTGTTTATAGCCGAGCAATCCCAAAGAGAAATCCGACACGACAGAGACGCCTTCCGTGGATCAGACTGTCTCGACTTACTGACGTGATGCCTGCCATGAGACGAACCTGCGTAACGAATGCATCGCCATTCACTTAGAACTCCTCCCGAGTTTTCTTCGCCTTCCCCGGTACAGGAAGAGCTCGGCCGTCGAGAGTTCCCGTCCGTCCTCTCGACGATGGCGTTCGTATCTCAGGACCGTCCACGGATGTTCCGAGTGAGTTGAGCACGGGAGCCCTTAATTTTTCGCCGACTATAAGGACGTCGAGTGACCTGTGCGATGCTCCTCCTCGCGGTGCGTCGCCTCAATCTCCACTAAGTCCCTGTCAGAAAATACGTCGCCTTCCACCTATGTACATCTCGGGGCTTTCGAATTTCAATGAGCTTGGCGAGGGTAGCTGGGACGTTCAAGAAAAAAATTCCCACTCCGGCGAAATGCTTTCGAGCTCGATCTCTCTCCGCGATGCGGTTTGTTCCCATTCATATTCGAGAGAAAACAGGTGTGCTAGCGGACAGCCTGTGAGCGGGCCTGGAGAAAGGCGTATCTTCGAAATCTAGAATGATTTCATTTCAGTGAAAGTGCCGGAGAGGTCGGACCTCGCGGTAGGCGAGCCTCGAGGGGCTCAGGGTGAAGCTCCACTCCCAACGGTCAGAATCTTCGGAAACAGCGATGGCTGAGCTCTTCGGAACGGATACGTATTATAAGAAATTTGCGGCGACAGAACCGGTGAACCATCAGCCCGCAGAATTTCCGTGCCTGGCTTGACGGACGCGGATCGATCCCTATACGGCACGTGGATTCCAGGTCGTAGATCGAGGGCTTGTCATCTAAAACCCGAAATGTACCCCCGATCGGAACGCCGCCCCCGCTTCATAACTTCATTCCGCGGAAGATCCCGCTCGATATGGAGCTGTTATTCTCGGCCAGCAGCAGCAGCTGCAGACGCGACTGTCGATTTCGACTATCCCGAACTTCATCCAGACTCAGTCAGGAAGTGAGAAGGTCGTTAGGAATCACCGAAATACCTCCCGCGGACTACCTTGTTGGCCTTCGCTTCTCATGAAAGTCCCATGGAATTCCAATTATTCGAATCCGAAATTGAATGAACAAGCCACTACGGAATCGGTGATTCGCAGATTGGAACGATTACCAAGATTTTGGAATTTCGAGTCGATCATCGACTCTCGAATGGATCTCTCTGCGAGAATATTTCTTAGTAGGAGAGGTTGAGGAGAGTCCAGGGAGTGAAGCTATCGGATGGAACGATCAACGTTTCGAATAAGCAAGAATAAACGTCAGCGGAAAATCCCATGGAATTCATGAGCTCCTTTTTGACGACGCTCATCGAAAATCGTAACTTGCTAAATATATCATTCCTGAATGCAGCCAGGCTCAATCCAGTGCCGAGGGAGAAGCGTCAGAACTGGATCCAGAACCATCTGTCGCGATACCCACTGACAGGAGCTCATACCCTCTGTCTGATGATATTTCCATGATAAACTCCGAATTACCTTCACAGAGTGACAACCACGCGGGATCTTTGTCCAGGCTCCAGATCTGCTTGTGGCAAACAGACACCATTGACTCGAGCGATCCCGCGACTCGGGGAACAGTTCGATCCGAAAGAAACTTTCTGTATTGTTTCTTCTGTACCGGAAGAATACAATCGGAATCGGTTCGGAGTCCGTTTCTCTATGGAATCTCATTGATTCCCGGAAGTTCCGAGCACAAGAGAGCTCCACTTCTAAGAATTGGCGAGAAAATCTCGCATGATGGGATTCGAATCACGACGAAAGAATCCGATTCCGACGTGAAAAATAGTCTCGGGCTGAACACGAGCAATCCTGCCATTGTGGGCGTGGCTATTCGAAGCAACTTTCGTCAATCTCGATCGATACGGCGAGAAAGTTTGACGAGACGAGGGGGAGAGTCAGCGCAGAGGGAGCTGTCGTAAAATAATCTCGAGAAAGAGCGAATGAGCCGGAGAGAGAGCTCCGAGGCGTACCAGAGGCCTCGAAACGTGTCCCTAAGAATATCAGGGCACTTTATCAAGGCGACTCTCGATCACACGACTTCATTTCGAGGTCGGGTTCCTCTTCTTTGGACTGGGAATGCAAACGTCATTCCGCTCTCACCTAATTCCGCCTCGATGTCTGCGACTTGAACGGGTTGGAACCCGGTCGAAGAGAGGTTTTTGCGTTTCGCCGGGATCAAAGTTCGGGGGCGCGGCGCCGGGATAGGATCCGTCGATGCGGGGTTGGTTTCTGATTATACATACGTTGTGCCATGAAGATGCTGACAATAACTCGCGGGAGAGAGTAATCATGAACATGCCTCGATCCTTGACCGTGGCTGCACGGATCTCCCCACCCGAAAAGGGAACCGCGGAAGGGTGCGATGAGTCATTCAGATTTTTCACCCTGGGTCTCGGGATTATTTCTTCGAAACTCGATCTTTCCGGTCTACCCGGAAAATCCAGAGGACATGCACTCACCCTTTCGGCATCCCTCCGGTAATAATAGACGAGTGGCTTTGTAATGTTACGTCGCCAGCTTTTTTTCCGGAACCCAGACGTCTGACTATGACTTCCACCATTCAATCTCTCGAATGAATCATCTCTGCGTTCTGCGGGAATTTACGTCTGACAGGTATGGTCTCTTGAATAACTAATCCTCGAAATACCCACGGGCATACATGTATCGACAGGGATCTTTACTTAAAAATGGTGATGAATACTGCCGCACGCACACTATTCGTCATGGATTCCGCTTCAGTTTCGCCTGTCTTCCGAATTCGTAACGACAAGGCCGGAGCTGCGCGACGCCGGTTTCTTTTTGGGAATTCATGATTAGAAACAATAGGGTAGGAATATTCATCTGATGAAATCGCTCTGAGATGAACCTCTGTAGGCATACCTCTTCATCACGAGTAATGCTGTCGGCCGGATCTATTTTGAAAACTCAATGAGAGGTTTCTGGGAAGGACGTATCTACTAACCATAAGATTGGTGTCACTCCTCTCGACTGGGCGACCTGCCCATTTCTCCGCTGCAGAAAACCCGATTCTAAGAGTATTGAGCCCGAAGTACTGAGCTCTTCATGATCCCATTCCTCAAGGACCGATCTTTGTCACCAAGCTCATACCTCTTTTTTTCGATTACGCAAAATTATTCCCGCAGGCGGAATCGAGAAATCGCCGAAGTTTGCGGAGGACTCCGAGCTTAGAACTCACAGTCGCCCTCGCAAATTCCCTTTATTCTTGCGCAGTCGTCATTATGGTCCCGTTGTCACAATACCTTCCAGAGGGTCTATTCCAAAGGAACTGCGAGCAGAGAGTAGGTAAAGCAGCTGAGTCCACAAAAGTCGACTCCCGGCAGAACTGAGTGACCGACCTGTCGGGCGGGTAGGCTAGCGACCGACTCGCCTCACTCAATGAAAGTCGACCCTGGGATGCAGCGTCAATTTTACAGATATCCCGGTATCCAGCGGACTCACTGCTGTCCTTTTCTGTCCACTCTGAATCAAATCGTTCGGACAATGGAACAATTTTGTTGTACGTCTCCGACCGCGGTGACTTGGCGATAAAGTCGCGTAGCTTTGTGTGCGTAGAATCTCGGCCCACAGCATAAAATCAACAACCACGCGCCGTACTAGTCCAGAGGACGCCGATCTCTTCGAAAATAAACTCACGGTCTCCGATAATTGACAACATTAGCCCGGGAATGTCACGTAGTGTACGCGAAGCTGCGCCGGTGAATTTAGAGAGCGAGAGCCGAGATGAGCGGAGATTCGCTCGCTAAGATCAAGTCGGGCATAAACTCGCATATCCATCGAGTTCAGCTTGTCACCGAACGCTGACCGTGCGCTTGTATTTTCGTTGAAATTGTGTTCTCGTGTACCATCAGGGAGCCTCGACGTTCTTCAAGTGACCGTGACTTACAAGAATCACGCTAAAAAGGCTCGATGCAGAGGGCGAGATCGTGTACATGTGTTTTTCATTCATTTCCAATTATTTCCCTCTACAATAATCCCAATCACTGAATTGACGGAAAACAGCAGAGGAATTCTCGTATCGAGCCGCCGAACAGTGTTACTGGTCATCCGGCATTTTCAGAGGATTGATCACCGACCTCGCTTATCCGACGAAGAGGCACTAACTGTTGAAGCTCCCCCAATCTTGGGGCAGTGATGCCGTGAAAGCCTCTCCTCTTCCAGGGAGTCCACGTATATCCCCCTGGATCTCGCCGGATTCCGATATCGAAAACGTCGCGCCATGCAAGAAATCCACTCTCTCTGTGCCTACAGAGCTAGCTATCCCACGCGGTCCATGCGTGTGTTCAGAGAAGTGACTCTCAGCTGTTAGCTGTCAGTCGGAAAGCGAGCGATCAACAAAACAATTCCACTTTTCGATCTCCGAGCGATTTGAAACAAAAACACCACAGCGCAGCCTCAGGGCGTTCCCGGTGGCCAGCTTATTCCAATCGGATTGATTTCAGTCACTGATCTCGAAATAGTATATACCTATCTGAAAAGAGCTCTATTGGGGTCCCGAACATAACTTACCGGAAACAGGCGTTCTTTGGAAGCCGCTCGACTTTCCTCATGTGCTAGTGTCATGCTGGATATTTGGGCCTCCGGCCCCGTTCCCCGCTTGGACTTCACTTTGTCTGCTGTTCGAGGCTGCCCTCAACGAGAGCACCAAAAGTGGTCCCCGCGAGCGTTCGAGATCGGACGTTCCGATTTCCTCTGTCCCTGAATTTGTAAGTCTATCCAAAAGGGTTCCCCGGCTCGAAACGTTCTGGTTATTGTACAGCAGTGAGCTGGGCTCGCTTGTCACTTTCACTGCGGCAGTTGCCTCGTCGGTTCACCGATGCATCCACCTATGAGCACAAAAATCCACGGAGTCATTAACGAACGAGACGGCACAAGTGATGATTTAGCGTTCTGCAGCCTGCTCCGTCGTCAGGTATCTCGGAGACGCCCCGGGATTAACAAGAGATCAAAACTGAGCCCCACAGTCCGCCGCCGACGCCGCCGCGGCCGCCAACTGCCAGACTCTTTCCTCTTCGCTGGGTCCACCAGTTGATGAGTCTGCTCGGTCCGGCTCCGGTCAATGCCTAACGGGATTGAGTACGGTAATTCGGTGTCGTCGTGATTTTTTCTCCGTCACCTGTCAATGGCGCTCGCGAGGCCTTCCGGTGACCGAAGCCAGGACGGGGGATGCATCGACCAGTGGAACGAACAGTACCGATGAGCACACATTAAACACACGGATTCGACGGAGCGCGAACAGCTGACGCGACACTGTAAATTCCTGTAGACGTTTCCCTCGGTAGCACTCACTGTTCTTTTTTTTTGTTTCGTCCTGAATTACTGAGAGAGAGAGCGCGCACTGTCTTCCACGATGATGACGGACACGATGGAGACAACGACAACAACAACAACGTTGGCAATTACGACGAAATCGGGGGCGCGAATCGCAGCCGGCGATTTCAGCGGATCGAGACGCGCGTCAGCCAGTCGGCAGGCAGGCAGGCCAGCCAGCCAGCCACCAAGCAAGCGGCAGAGAGATCCAATCGGGCATATAGTCCTGGAGGAGCGACGAGCTACATGTGCGGGGGCGGACGCAGCACTCAGCGAGAGCCAGCATGGTCAAGAAGAGAGCGAAATCCGCAGCGCCCTCTCGCGCAAGCAATTGTAGTTGCCGCTGGGGCAGGGACTTCCGCCGTGCTTGCTCGCAGCGTTGCTTTCGGAAGTCGATGGGAATCGTTCTGCTCAAGGCATTGAGCTCGCTGGCCCGCTAGCTCGTGGACAGAGTCGTCTGTAGGCAAACAGGCCGCACGCCGGCCGGCCGGCAAGAGCAGGCGATCCGCGGAACGTACGAATCGCCGCCAGACGTTCCGCTTACCGATGCGCGCTAGGTCGCTTGCGCGGATCCGGCACTATCCGACTGCTTGGCAGGCTGGCTAAATGGCTAGATGGTTGCTCGGATGGATGGTGGGCTCATTCACTACGGTGGTGGCTGCCGCAGGTACCGCCGCCGCTGCCGCGCGACGTCGAGTGGTGAGGGATAGCGAGGGCCATAAAATTGTCGTCCGTCCGTCCGCCCGTCGTCGAGGTCAACATGATGCCGACTCATCCAACCTGGTTGGCTTGGTGGAGGACCAACAGGATTGCGGGTCGCTCGATTGGTCGCCGCATGGTACCCGAGACGTCTCGAGGTCAATGTACACAACGACAATGTTCTCCAAACCTTCCATTTAGCATTGACCACTGTGCATCACCTTCCGTAGTTCATTGGCTATTTCCACTGCTGGTGACTCACTCGGTCTCGAGCTCAAGTAGAGCCTGGTACTTACGACTTCGAAAAATTCCTCCGCGTCGACGGTGCGGACGAGACTCTCGAAGACTTCTGCCACAATCGATGCATCGGTAGGGAGCATGCGGTAATCCGAGGTTTTACGTCCTTTCCACTGCTCTTATTGACTCGCGTAATCCCTTTCAGAGTAGCTGAAAATTTTCTTCATTTCGGCACCGATCGGATGACCGTGAACTCTGTGAGACGCTCCTTTGAAGACGCTCCCGATTCCACTGGATAGATTTCTTCTGCCGAATATTTAATTTGACATGGAAAGACAATCGCGACAACTGATAGCGGAAAGCGCGACTCTTTAAGGACGCTGGGGCCGGAAAGAAGGTAGGAAGAGGACTCGACTAGTGTTCTTGCACTCGGTGAAACCAACTCTACCTTGTCTTGAGTCGCTTCAACGATTTCGAACTGCAGGGAGAGATGCCGCGGAACGCGCGGCCTTATCTTTACGCCGCGCAAGATTAAGAGAATTAAACAACCTGGTCTCTTCGACCAACGAACATGCCGTGCTTCTCCCAAGCTGGGCAACGCGCGCAACGGGAAGAGGGAGGGCCCGAAAACAAAAAACAATTATCAATTAGAAAGCAATCAGTACGTCCATTGGGGTCGCGGACAACCTCAATGGACACGCATGAATTCATCATCAATCATCACTTTGGACTCGAACCCTTAAGACTCTCTAACTAAGGGAAGTAGTTCTGTTTGAGGAGAAAGTTAGACAAACAGAAGTAGTTCCCGACATCCACAGAAAGGCATGACGTAACGACGAAAACAGATGACGGCACTCCTGTCTCCAAATCGGGAGACATTATCGGAGGCTTCATGAGGCGAAATTTTCCGCGGCTCTATCCGTGATGCGGACAGTCAGAATTTCTAGGCAGTAGGTATTCTTCAGCCACTTGGATCATCAGACGAGTCTAATCTCATACCCGCAGTCGCTGTTGTGATCTCGTCTCTCTCCCTTAGAGTTTTCTGTTTTCCAATCATATCCCTTCTCTCAGCAATTTGTCAGCTTGAATGCCATCGATCTTAATCACCGAGTATCATCATGAACCGCTGCTAGCTACCCTAGTCGGGTGGGATGTCTTCTGGTTATAATGACGTTCCCGTGGAGAAGCACAATGGTGCCAAGACCACCTCGAGAATTTTTTCTTTCTTTTTCCAAAGAACCTTATTCACTTTCCTAAATCGATGCGTGAATCGCACGTTGCCAGAATTTTCCACCACGCCTTTCTGTCAACGCAGTGCGCGATTCGGGCGATAATCCTTCGGTGTCATCGCTGCTGCTTTCTCCGACGCACAATGAACATCCGAGCCTCCGCCGTTCTCCAAGCATCATCAGGTGTCATATGGTAAAAAATCCTGGAATTATCTGACAATGAGATGGATCTACGTTCAAGAGGGTGAAGTTCACTCCCGAGACGGGATTACGCTAGGGAGAGGTCTTCGAGGTTCGTAATCATCAAGCCCTCGGGCGAGTTGAGTGATTTGGAATTTGAAGCTTGATTCATCTAATAACATCATAAAGCGCGCGACACGTGTTCGCACGCAATTCTCACGGTAAATACCGCGGTTTATGCGCCCGCCGACAGGAAATTCGATGAATTTTACGATCTCGGTGGGATAGAGCGATCATAATCATTTGCAGCAACTCAACTCCACTATGGAACGAAATATTTCCGTGGAGACGAGCCCTCCCGGATGAGTGCCAGACAAGGTTTGGCTTGGCAAAAGCTTCAGATGAGAGTCGACTCGAATCCAAGCGAGGAACCGTTTCTCTTCCACCGAAGAAGCTCGCGGAACAATGTCAGGATATAGTCGAGTTGAGCGTGAACGGTGTGTCACCTCTTGGCGACTCAGCAGCGTCTCCCATCTGTTCCTGCATTATGCTGCAGATTGCACTCTCCGAAGTATCATTTAAGGAAACTGAGAAGTGGACAAAGAATTCTGTTGCGTGACCGAAAGCCATCTGCCTGACTCACAGAAGCGCCTCTCATGATGGAGCGGTCTCTTAGGTGATGGATACGTCAATCATCAATCAAAATGAATGACGGATAGAAAGCCTGGCTGGAAAGGGATCGGATTACCAAAATCAAAAATTTCCGGAAACGAGGCAACGGCCGACTATCGAGACTTCAATAATTGCACAAGCGCTATGACTATATATGGATGCTATTATATGGATCGAATCCCCCTGGTGTCGTGAATCGGAAGAAGGCGCGACCCACAAGTAGTCCCTCACTCGACTCGACTGTTTTCTGTAAAGATTTTTCTGCCATCGGGTCTTCTCTTCTGCACGAATGTCGTAATGCAAACATCGGCCCGAGTATCCGTATCTGGCGGAATCACGTCCGATCCACCTTGGCATCTGAAATCTATAGGCATCGGGAAACCTAGTGAATACTCCCAGAGCCGATCCACAGCTAAAAGCGGAAGACCGAAATACAATTTCTGCTCACCCTGTATTTTCAGCCACAAGAGAATCGGTCTCAACTCAACTGCAGAAACCAATCGAGTTTTTGCTACTTATCCGGCTGGGCTAACCAGATTCATATATTCCAGATTGGCGGAATGACTTGCTGCTGCCGTCGAATTCCTAGCCTGCAATCATCAGGCATGGAAGATGATTTCGAGCGCCAGATCCTTATTTCCGGCGTATGCAAACCGTCCGGATCCCATCCGCGCGGAACGCAGGTTAATATTTGGAACGTCCGACGAAAGCTTGAACGAGACGTTTACATATTTTCCGCCTATTCAATTGCGGGCAACACCTGAAGCTTATAATGATCCGGCCTGGAACGACCGATACTCCTCACTCGAGCTCGCCGGCGAGTTGATTGGGTCAAATGAATCCCTTCTCCAGCTCATCGCAAATCATCCGGTCCGAAGAAATTCTCGAGTACGGGATTTCTACATAAGAGATAACAGTTGATAGAGCGGCCTTGTTGTGAATTCATCCGGTGTTCTCTCCGATCAAAAATAGGAACTTCACGCAGTATTCCGTCATGACTCCCTGTGTGCGCAGCTGAGGTCCCAACGGCGAGAAGTCGCAGTGAGCAGGCACACAGACTCACCTAGCAGTGGCTGCGATGGATTCCGAAGTTATCGTCATTATTGGAGCGTTCGTGATTTCAGAAAAGCAGAAGAAAGATAGGAGATTCGATCGGGGATGGAAAGCGACGATTCTCGTCGGAGATGAGGAACAGAAATTCGCGGTCTTTCTATCATTTCGTTTGAACGAGCGTTCTCTCCACTCAGCACAGTCTACTCTCCTCCGATAGCGTTCCCTCTTTTCGGTACCCACAGTCTCAGACATTCATCACGTAATTATCAATCCGTTTCTCCACCTCAGGATTCTGTCGACATGCCGCCCGGGATGATTTTTTTTCGCCCCATTGCGATGTTGAACTCCTCCAGTTTTCAAGAAATCAGATGGTTGATATATGCGAACTGCTAACATTGAGTACGCCTCCGATTCTGGTCTCCAACATTTTTCCCTCTGAATCGGAATTACGCGTTCGTCCGCTTCGTGCATGAAGGACGTACTCGTTTCGTTACTCGGGAAGAGAGACCTCGAAGGCCCCATGAAGCTGAACGCCTCTTGATCTTTGCTCGTGTCCCAACTTTTATTCAAATGACGCTCGTTGTTCTAGGTGGAGGGGAACTTCAATCGTTAGTCATTGGTTGGCCAGTAGGCTTGGTGAAATTCTGTGCGCGATCCAAGCCTCCAACCATGCCGCTGGTGCTTCCTTCAACAACATGTCCAACGACGAATGAGTGTCCGAGTGTCGCCAGCACGCGATCTCTCACTTCAGCATCCACTCGGAACATCAGAATATCCTTCAATCGGCCAATGCGGACTCCTCGTCTCACACGTTTTGCTGCCTATTCCGAACAACCAGCAATGAAACGGAAACAATCTCACTTCACTTTTCTGCTTGCGTGCTTCTCCCGTAGCTCCCTCGCTCGCTAATAGATCGGCTCAAGAACGTACTCAAAGGGCGGCGATGTCGACCGAGCGACGCCCACCCTATTGAAGTTCGCTGGAACCATTCCACGGTCGAACTATGAGAGGAAGTAGAAAACCCTGCATTTTCGGTGGGGAAAGGAACCCAGCTCTTCCTCGATACCGGAGCTCTCCTGGAGCGAAAGAAATGTTCAAATTGAACAGAAAATCCGTAGACCGATCTAATCGTCGAGACGAGACACGAATGTCAATGCGGAAGCGAGGAGAGCATAGCCGTCGATTCCCGCGCATGCGTAGTATCTGAGATGCCTCTTACTCGAGCGGACGTCTCGGTGGAACAGAAATTGGACCTTCCTCGCAGGCCTACCGATCGGAAGATAAGTAGCCCACGAAGGGTTTGTGTGGGTTCCATCGGCAGAAGTCAAGCTACTTGCATTCAACTCGATGACGAGTCCCGTTGCGACTCCGTACGAAGAGTCGAACGTAAGAATGCTCACGCGTTCCCTTGACCGTAAACTCGAAAGGGAGCTGTGTACTTCCGTCACCTCTGCAACGTTGTATCTTTGCTCGAGCCGAGCGATAAGACTGAGCGAGGGATATCCTGCCGCGACTTGCGCGTGCCGGCTCCCGACGCTCAGGTCCAGAGAAACGAAAGTCTCCTGGAACCGCTGGAGGAAGTTTTCCGAGCGGTGCGGATTCCGAAGGATGAAACTACTAAGGTATAGCGACTATTGGAGATGATGATCTAAAAAATGGATCCCTGTAGATAGAGCCGAGTCGTATCCTTAAGGGGAATCATCTGGCAGAACGCATCCCTACCAAGTTCCCTCAGAGCAAGGATTCAGACGTCCTTGGTGACGATTCAGGTGACGACCCGCCCTCCCGACTCAGATCCCTCCGATGGTTTGGTTGGAACTGGCTCTCCCGGATGCCCGAAAGTACAGCATGTTGCACAGCATCCATGGGAGAAGAGTCAGTTCTCGGAGTCTACATCAGCCGGATTCCGTGAAGGAGGCCATTCAGCGGAGCGCTTTCAACCATTGCTAGGTATGCCTTGCAAACATGTCCGGATTTCTCGACTTGGGTCGGCCGGATGATCGTGGAGGTGACGAGGACATGAGGGGAAGATCTCGCCGAGATTTCATCAACAGTCGCAAGGGATTCCTAGAAACTTCGACTCCGGGAGGACCAGGAGGGTGAGATCTGACTCCCGAAAGCGCCCCAAGCTACGAAATACGGCGAAGATTGGTTGTTCTCCGGCAAATGTTCGCAGAATCGGACTTCAACGTACGAGTACATGGTTCCACCTCCTTAAAGATGAACGATGGGCTCGCGCTGCCCTTGAGACCATTCTCGGTCGATGTGTCGAATCCGAAGTTGAGAGGACTCGATTCAAAAGAGAGGAATTCGTTCAGCGTCCATTATTATCGACTGCGAAAAAACGTTCCCTGATTTTCAACTCGTTCTGGACGTGCAGTAGTTGACTCCGCCAGTTTCGTTCCTTGCGTTGGAACAATCACATTTTGTTGGGTGCATGCTCTTGTGAGAGGGTCTCATTCGGCATTTGAGTCGAAATACGGAACTTCCGAGCTTTCGCGGAGACACATTCGAAATTTCCCGCGCAGTCGGAGCCGGGGTGTTGGTGAACCGCTATCATCTGGGCTGGAGCGCTTATGTTTACCGCGTTCGCCTGATAGACGACGGCATTTCGGAGACGTTCGGCGATTCGCCGAAGCTGTTGCCTTTCTAATACTAGATATGCTTCTCTTGGAACTCATTTGGAACGAGCAACGTGAGTCTAGAACTCGGATGTACTCTCCTGCGGATCCTCTTCTCTCGGACGTTCTTCTCGGATTATCGAACTCCTGTATCTCTGTGCGCTATCGATTCACTGGAGGAATGAGCGAGTTTACGAATTCAAAATATGTCGACTCTTCTTCTCTCGAGTTGCTGTTCTACAGCGCTACTTTGACTGTAGCCCTCGAGCATTTCAGAACGCTCGCATCGCGGAGTGTGTTCGCGTCCAGAGCTCATTGTGTCCAGAAAAAAACGCTCGTAACACAGTTGTAAAGTCTTGAGAGAAAGAATCAATTCTATTGTGTCTGGATCAAATCGATCGTTGGACGGGCATAGACAGCTCCCATATAGAGGATTGGACACGCCGCATCGTCCGCATAGTTTCCGAGGCATTCGGAGGCCGGATTCTTGTCGTGGTCGCGAGTATCCACGATTGCGATGAGCGATCCCTCATATCTGAATTCGTCTCGTGTCGATTCAGAATCGGCATCGAGGGCTCACAGGAGACTTCGGGTATCTTCGGTCTCGGGACATAGTCGTGTTTCGGATTACATGCTCGATCTCTAGGAGCGGACAGCATCCTCGAGAATCAACCAGCCATCTAGCTCCATCATACGGGGATCCCATTCTCTGTAGAAGAGTAAACGAAATAGGTATCTTGACTCAAGCTCCCGGGAACGGAATTGTAATCGTGAACGAGGAAAGCTTTACGGGAACTCATGTCGGAATCTCGGGCAAGTATGGAGGGATTTCACTTGGTTCGAGACCGAGTTCCGTGCATGGCTCTTCCCCTCCAACTGTCATTACTATTCGCCGAATAAGATCCAATGGTCTGCATCGGGTCAGCCTCCGTGAATCGATATCGTTCGGATTTTATGGGTTTTTCGTCGGAGGCAGTCCAGCGCTTCTACATTCTTCGCTTCTGGAACTCATAGGAGGAGCGAATCGTCCGCCCTCGCTTCACTGTCGCATTCCTTTCCAGAAATATCTAACTAGGCAACAGGTGGTTGTGCGAATCATGTTCATCAGGTTATCTGGTTCCCTCGTGGGGATCGCGACCTCTGCCTTCTTCATCTCAAATAAAGTCTACGCGAAAGATGCGACAAAAAGAGACTCGGATTCCTGTCCCGTCCACGACAGAGAATCTGTTTTTAAAAAGGTTTTGTATCTCTAGCGCATTAGCATTTGATGCTTGCATGCGCATTGTCTTCCGTCTGTGTGAAAGTCGGTTTCGTAATCGACAGAACATGCTTCACAGATCCATACCCCAAAGTATTATTGGGACATCAACTGGGATCGGAGGGATCCTAAGACAATCTACTCTACAATGGGAAACCCCCCTCCTGATACATGCGACATTCCACACAAATCCAGGCACTTGTACCTCGTGCGCCACGGACAATATCATTCGAAGGCGAAAAGACCAGAGGATAAGAAACTCACTGAGCTCGGCAGAAAGCAAGCCGAATTCACTGGTCAGAGATTGAGGCAGTTGAACCTGACGTTCGACAAGGTATATGTATCGACGATGGCGAGGGCTAAGGAGACTGGAAGCATCATAGTCAGGTGTGTCTCGCAGAATGTCGCATGAAAAATATTCGATGTATCGGTCCGGTCACTTTTCGAATGTCTCGGCGGGAATCTCTTCCGCCCCTGTTTGAGATTTGGGTCTCCAGTTCGCTCCCAGAAGATCGAGTCAAGTCCGTGGAACTCTCCGATCTGCTCCCGGAAGGAAGTCCCGTGCCTCCTGAACCTCCATCTGGGTATCATCCGGCCAGCAAATATTCTGAGGATGGAGCAAGGATCGAAGCTGCGTTCCGAAAATTCTTCCACAGAGCAGATCCGTCTCAGCGCGAGCACGAACACATTCTCCTGGTGTGCCATGCCAACGTAATAAGGTGCGTTGTGGAGCTGTAATCAAAGAAAATTCCATTGGGCTCTCGAATATTCCTTAGGAGTCGCCGAGGTCTCAACCAAAGACTGATGAGGCGTTTCGGAAACGTTTTCTGTCGGTTCCCAGGTATTTCGTTTGCAGAGCCCTCCAGATTCCGGAGGAGGCTTGGTTGAGGTTCTCGTTGAAGAATGGATCTATAACGCACCTTGAAATCCGCCCTTCGGGAAGAGTCGTCGCGCGAGGAATCGGTGACGCCGGTTTCATGCCCCTGGACATGATAACCACAAGCTGAAACTCGATTCATGATATCTGATAGAGATTAACAAGTAGCTCTCACAGATGGTCTGCCGGACTGAGCTCTTGACCCTTTACTTTTTGTGGTTGGAGACCGCGCTGCGGCGAAAAATCGAGCGGTGCGAATGACGTTTTCCGATACATCGTTGAGCAACGAAGGCGGAAATTACATAGGTATCCGACGCAAGCGGACGAAAGCCCGCTGATTTGACACACTTGGAAATTCCAATAAAAAAATATCATTCTTGGAGTTACCCCCTGACGTTCACTGCTCTAATACCAGCAGAGGGTCCAGATCAGCAGGCATTCATCGGCTCGAAGACATTCATATCGGTTCCGCAAATCGAAGCAATGGGATATGTCGGCTCCCGCCGAGACAACTCTCGTCGGGGTCGATTTCTCGGTCAGAGAAATAATTCGAGGTCCGGCCGCTGAATGCGTGGACCGATGAATCTCTACCCTCGGAGCACTTCGCAAAAGCCTCATAGAGAGAGCTCTTCATGGATGGCGACTTCTCCTTATAACAGAAGTGACTCGATGGTCAGGCTCGATGGGATGTTCGGATTGCGAGGCTTTTATTCCGAGACCCTCGTGAAACAACATGATCGCATGCAGGGACGTATAAGACCTTTTTTTTCGGGGACAAGGCAATGTTTTTGAGGGCGGGCAAGAATGATGATGGAGATGATGATTTCCATAGGGCTCCATGTACGGAGGACATGTTTTGAGGGGGCAGGCGCCCCCTCGTCCCCCCTCCTCATATATACTACTGCTCGCATGATCCGTCGAGCGGGATCGATGATTCTGCAATCGAGATACGGAGTTCGGCGTGCTCCTGCAGTTGTTCTCAGGCCAAACCTCCATTAGATGCTTCAGTCCCGGTTCCGCCTGGAGGAGTTATCCAGTCTGGAATTCTCCACCCCGAGACGGCTGCTGATTTCTGCTCTCCGTTACGTCTGCATAAGGATGCTAGGCTCGAAACCGGGTTTTCAGAAATCGCCGGCTTCGACTGAGAAATCACCGACTCTGATTTGCAGGGTTTAATCTTTGTGAACTCAATATACGGCGAAATATTGAATAACTTCTCGGACGCGAGCAAAGAGGAAATTGAAAACGGACCATGTTTTCGATCGACCCCTTGATTTGCACGGAGCGCTCTACCTCCGTCGCATTTCAAAGAGGATCCACCGGAATACGGGAGTGTACCTGCTGGGGGAGGAACTGCCTATCAGGCGACTTTCTGGAAATGCCCCCGCCGGAGTCTACGCTCGCTGTCGATTTCGGATCGTTCCGCGCGACGCTGTCGTCTCTCTGCAGCCTTAGAGAGTGGTGGGAAAAGGCGCGCTGCTACGAGCACTACTACTCTCACTCTCACTTGGACTTCCGTGCGGCCGCCGATGCAACATGGCGCTGCCCTGTGTCAGATGCCGAATATTCGTTCCTTTGACGTTGATTGCAATTCTTAGCCAATTCGCAGCCGTGAATAGTCGATACACTGATGAAGCAGAGTTCACAATCGTGCTCAAACCCGCCGAGCAAGAATGTTTCTTCCAAGAAGCCAAGGAGGGGCAATACCTCGAAGTCGAATACCAAGTTCTGGACGCTAATTTGGATTCGTTGAGCATCGACTTTTCCGTCGCCGCGGCAGACGGAAAGCCGCTCGTGTCCGAGCGGGGGAAAAGTGAATCTGTTCACCGTCTACGTATTCCGTCGACTGGTGCCTTGAGGATCTGTTTGGACAATCGACCGTATTACGCACGGAAGTCTATCTACATCGAAGTTTTCATAGAGGATGCTGACTCTGAAGACGAACATGCGGGAGATGACGACCCCTTCGACTTGGGAACGGTGACATTCGCGCCCGACGACCGCTTCAACACGAAGGAAATCGATCAAATGCGTCATCGAATATCGAAGATCTACGAAAATCTCAACCATGTCCAACGGTATCAGGAGTGGCAAAAAGCTCACGAAGCCAAACATAGGAATATGATTGAACACATCTTCGATATTCTCAACACCCTATCAGCCCTGCAAATGCTTCTCATGGGAATGCTCATGTTCATGCAGGTCAAAGTTATTGAGAAATTCTTCCAAGCGGATTCTCCTCTCTTGAATTGGAGAACCTGGTTCTCCTGGTCCTCCAGCTGAGATCCCGCCCGACGGAGATCCTCGGGAACGGGGAGAGCCGGCACTCGAATGATGGCATTTGTGAAATACTCTGTAGAAAATAATTGATCGGGCTTCCGACGGGGATGTGTCGATATCTTCCTAGTTACCCTGAAGCAGCAATATTCCCGCCGCGGAGGGCTATTAAGCGGAGGGGAAATTATTTATTCGTAGCTGTACAGGAATGGTACAGCTGGACAAGGCGCCAAAAAGGAGAAGACATAAGTGAGCATCAGAGAGTCAAACGGATAATTCCGAGCCACATATTTTCTCAGCACTAGAGCCCAGAGCAAAATCTATCTTCTTATTATTGTAATGGGACGAAAGAACGAATGTTGTTGATAGGACGCGCGATGCGCACAGTCTTGACCGAGTGTTATCCACTGAAGATGTTTCCCAAGGAAACTCTGATACGGTCGTCGATATTTGGGCCGTCTATTCAAGGATTGAGACAGACTGGAAGGAATAATAAAAGAATCGAACGTGATTCAGAGTCGTGATCAATCTGAGAATTCGAAAAATTCTGATGAGTATCATAGCTTACCCGCGACTCGGTGCCATATTCTGTTTCCCGTTCCCCAAAAAGTTTCCCTGCTTTCTCATGACACACATTTTCAATTAGCGGGATTCAACCGTGATGCAGACATGTATGTATATGCACCTACATATGCAAAACACAATGACCGATCCTTCGCGCTTGTGCGAAGCGGAGTCTCAAAGGTCCCCTCTTGGCCCTCTTTGAGCCTTTCTTTCATTAACTGAAGCGTGCGACAGCAGGGAATGTCCACAAATCTGAATCTATGGCGAGACCTCAGCCGTGGCATGTTACTGTGCCGAGTAGACGTGACGGAAACGTCTCCGATCTAAAGGCCACTGGCCAGGAGCTTACACCCGGAGCTCTCACTGGACGCATCCAATCGGAATTTCCATGGTTTGACTTTAGTGTGGATGCTGACCGTGTGGTCTGGCTGGTGGCACTGGTGAGCGTGGACCACTCCTTGTGATCCTTCTCCGCACAGACATCGCGTCGATAAGCCTGGGCTGACCCGGGGTCCACGATCGATATTCCCCGAAGAGCTCCTTTTTGTTCATGCCGTCTGAGGATGGGGATGATTGTATCGATCGCGAGAAAGAAAAACGAAGGATCCTGTCCCGAATCAGGACACAGAATGAATATCTGCTCACTGTCTTTTCGAAGGCATCACAATCAAAATTCTTGGTCGTTTTCCGTGTGGCAACCGCGACTCGCTTTCTCTCAATTACCATCGGATCGATGAAGCATCGCCCCTGGGTCTGGTGACTTCCTGCTCCTTTCCCGGCTCTTACCACCGCGATGGGCGCACTTACATAACGTCAGACTTCACCGTCGCCTTACAAGTTGTAAATCTAGATCGGCGTTGACGAGCCTGAAGTATCCCGTCCTTAGGAGGCTTCTGTTTCGTGGTGATGAGCCATAGTTAGTGATCTGCGGGGACTCCGGTGAAGGATAAGCGTCAATCAGTGAGGAGCAGTTCCAGATCCACCTGGTTATTCCGGAATAACGTCAACGTCTGGGAAGAGGATGTTACGAGCACGGAGATTCCACGCTGTTCTCGCCATTCTCGGAAGTGTCAGCTTAGTCTTGCTTCTAGCGACCATCGCTCAGCAGAATGTGCATTTAAATCTCAATCAACCGACAAATATCTCGGTGTGCTATTTCTGTGACGAAGGAGTCGACTTCAGCGTGAGGAACTTCGGCTGCTGTGCCTTGAATTCGAGGTGTTGTTTCGACGAAGATAAAGACTGGGAGTGATGTTCTTAGAAGGGGCTCTTCTCACAGGTCCCATGATTTTTATTTATGAAAGACGAAACAAAGCGACACAACGATGACGTCGCCTGTACAGAATGAACTGAATAAAAACCTTAAATGAACATCAGTCTCTTATGAGAGACATTATCCGGGAGGGAATATTGGAGAAACTTTGTGAAGGATATGAGAGATCCGGCAAGTATCTCTGGATGAAGACGAGCTGACGTCTGGGGATCGCGTGCTTCTCTGAGGAAGCGTCATCGCGGACCTCGCGATCACGATACGCTCAAACAGAGGCGTAGTTTTCACCTCGCAGACGACAATTCCGAGGATGGAGCCGATCATATACAAGCTGTCCGATCTGGAGAGATATAGCAGTCGAATCATTGGAGCAGCGGCGTGTGACAACGATGGAGCAGGTTTTTCCCCAGAGATGGGGAGCGCAAAGTTCGCTTCAGATTGTGACTATCGATTATCTCCAGGGATGATCCTTCCTTGGAGTTGGGAACACGCGTCGAATCGAGCCCTCAATCTGGGAATGATACGTACACGGAGAGGTCGTGATCTTGTCAAAATGCTCGACCTATGAATCAGGAAGGATGGACGCGATCGGGTGTCCAATCATACTCTCATCGGATCCGAATGATGTTGCCGCTGCTCACGATGATACTTCCAGAGGATGTCGATCCGAGCGAGCTGGACATGCTCTATGATTTCGACAAGAATCATCGATGCGTGAACAGACTACTTCAAACTGACGGAATGGCTCATGGTGGACCGAAGGGCTGAGTAGGCGGTATCGACGGCGAGCTGTATGTCCGCGCCGGAAGATCCATCGTTAGGGGCAGAGGTCCTCCGCGGGGTAATGAACATGTCAGAATCCCATCGAATTGAACTCAACGATCTCCAGTGGGACATCGGATCTTTGTTTTCAGTCTGTCCCGTTCCCGATCCTTCCCCGGCATCAAACTGACGCACTCTATTTCTCATGGGGCTCTCGAAGACGCAAATCGAGTGTCATTTCCCAGACTCGAGCGAAAATTATCCGGCAGCGTAGCGGCAGTAGGCTTGCGCGCGCCGACGTCTAATAAAAGTCCGGCTTCCCATCAGCCGACGCCGCCGCCGTGACCGTGAGTCTTGAAGTCGTCGTCTGCCTCTCGTTTGTTGGTGTGGTGGTGCGTTGTTGCAGCTGCTGCTATTCCGTCAATACTGAGCTGAAAAGTTGTGGAGTTCCTCAACGGCTTCGAGGATCACATTTTACCATGAGTTGAAACAAAGTGACATGTAGAGGTGAGCGTCCGCAACTGTCATAGCTCCAAGATCGCGTTTAGGAGATCTTTCGATATGATCGATGTCGGTGCCAGGTGTACACCCATCGAGAGAGGCAGCAGCAGACTGGGAGTTCCCCATGTACATACATATAACGAGCGTTGAACGATCGAAGTTCTCACCCGAGCCTGTCATTTCTCGCTTTTATGTCATCTGAATCTCTTGCTTGGCAAGCTTGGCTGGGAACTCCTTCTTTTACGGGCTTAGTATCGCATCAAGAGGATCAGAGTATTCAATCACCGTATGCCCGGAATGGAGGCCGACGTCAAAAAGAATAGCGTTCCGTCACTTGGAACCCTGAGATTCATTCAGCTGAATCGGATACTTCGGCCCTTGAGCTCGCCTCGAATTGCGATGGTGCTTCGCTGACCCAGCTCGATGAAAGAGGGGTCTCGAGTGAGTCTTTCAGCGCCGATGTTACTGATGCTCGGCCGAAATGTTGACTCTCGATCCTCCGTTTTCAGAGCGGCGTCTTCCAATGAAGCTTCTGACGCACTTCCTGGCGTTATCCGTGGGACTACTCGGTGCCGTCAGAGAGGCTCAGACGTCCGTGGAGCTATCGTCTCTAGGAAATCCAAAGTGCGACCCACCTGGTCGATGGAGAACTGGACGGAGGCTCAATTTCACCGAGTCGAGAGCTAAGGGCGCCATCGTAAACGACAATGGAGTCTCCTGGCTGACGAAACTGGAGGACTGCGCCAATTGGTGCTGTAGGCTGCCACCCGGTAAGTTCGGAGCTGCCCGTCTCGAGAGAAAAATTATTCGTCGATACTATGATCATCGTGGTAGATTCCGATATCACAACGAGAGGAGAGGGACTAAAAAAGGTTTCCGTTACAGTCAACTGCTCGGTTGCGATGCTTGAGATCAGGAGCAACGGAGCCAATTGTCATCTGCTTGTATGTTATCCCACGGAGCTTTGTGTTTTCAATTATGCGCCGGATTTCCTTTCTTACGACAGAACTTTGTTCGTGCCACCGGTGACGGATATACCTCTCGTCCCGACGACAGGACGGCCCTCATTCAGCTTCCGGGAGAACACGCAGCAGCACAAATCTGTGATAAAGCCTCGGAAAGGTGTCGAGGACCTGCTTCCTGAAACTCTGACCTCATCAACTCGATCACCCGCCTCATTGAGTTCTGAGAAGCCAATAATCAGCTCTTCCGCGCTTGATGACGCTGAGAGTCGACCTCATAAACACCGAACCTCTGTAGGATTGATATTTCTCTACGCAGCGATCATCCTAGCCATTATGGGTGTTGGGACTTTTTTTGGACTAAAGTTTCTCGACTGTTGGGAACGCAGACACTACACGAGAGCGGATTATCTGTTGGATGGAATGTACGAAATTAAAGGCACGTCGTGCAGCAGCTGACCGGCTGGATTCTGGAATGGAAGGGATATCGTGATAAACCGTGAAGTCGCGTCTGTGTCGAGCTCGAATGGCCTCGACGAATCAATTGTAAATTTTCGCCAATAAGAGCGCCAGAGGACGGGAAACTTTAGCGAGCGGGAAACGAGGATCATCGGGAGAGGTATACATACATCTGAAAATGCTTCAAAGTAAATCACACTAATGCTAGAACGATCGGAGAATTTAATTTTTTATTTCGGGATCCTCGCTAGGATTTTCTTGTCAGTGTACACAATCGGCCGCAAGCATCGAATCCTTGCCATGAATGAATGGAACCCACAGGCAGACGAGCTCCTATATGAAGGCTTCTCCAGGAGACGAGAGGGAGAATCAAATTTTTACACCCTATATACATTCGGTGCGCATCTTCAGAAGCTCAGAAAAAGTCGCTAGCTCTCACTTTAGATTTGGTCAAAATGTCGACGACGGGAGTTTTCGGAGTGGGGGTGTCCGGAGCTGGGCTAGGGTACGGGGACACTGTACGCGTCGAGTCGATCTTCCTCTTATCTCGACCAGGTGTGTAACTGGCCATCAGCCTCTTATCGCTCCCGCGTATGATGCCCAATTTGCCCAGTCCCAAGCGTTTAGCTGCGGGAGACAATCCGCTGAAGCTCGGACTCTGCGGCACACTGAGGTTGGCGAGATTGTCCTGAGCGGCTTTGATTGCGTTGTTTTTCTTCTTCGTGGCCTTGGATTTCTCAGCGAGAGATAACGCGAGCTGCTCACGTTCCGACGGTGCCTTCATTTTGAATTTCGAGGAGCTTTCCTCAACAATCAGATACGGAGTGCTATCGACTTCTCCCCAAGTCATGAGCGGGGACTCCCCCACTCCGGGTCGCGGTGAGGGCGTGGCGACGAATGAGAAGCCGCGGACTTTAGGCGACGCGGTCTCCCAACTTGCTTTGCCGTCCACGCCTACCTTGCCGGCTCCGTTCCAAAATTCATCCGCGCCTTTCTCCTTGCTGTCGCCAGATTTCGATGGAGTCGAGCCGAGGGGTGTCGTCTTGGGCCACGGGTTGGCAATGAGACGAGTATTCCCGTGTTGAATTTTCGGTTGGGATTCTTTGACATTTCGAACCTCTTCCTCCGTGAGAGGGGCGCCCTCGGGGTTATACATCACAGCGTTATGGACCTTGTATTTCCAAGTGTCCAGAGGTTTTGACTCCAGAGCCAGCGGGGCCGATGGCGGCGGCATCAATGCTCTATCCGCCGAATCGTTCTCCGAGTTCTCGTGTTTGTATATCCAATGCAGCTTCTTCCGCCGTGCTGCTTCCTGTTTCTCCATAATTTCGCTGAAAGACTCATTGTCTTCAGACGTGTTGCCCGCCAAAAACTTCGACAATGAAACTCCTTCGATGCTCTTCTTGACAAGCTCCGAATGCGTTTGGGGTTTCGCATTGCTCGTTGAAGGTCCCGGAGTCGACCGCACCCAATCTTCGTCGTCCCAATCTCCTTTGGATGGTGTCCCAATCAATCGAGTGCTCGCGGCCTCAAGCTGTTTCTCGGCCTCCGCGATACGCACGCTGTCCTCACTGTCGAGAGCATCGAGATAGTTGTTGCGTTTTTTCACTTCATCCAAATAGGGGAAGAAATCTCGTTCAATGATTTTCTCAACTTTCTCAACGAACTCCTCCTCTTCCAGAACCTTCGCCTTGCTCGGTTTCGACTTCTTCGCCTGGTTTGAGATAGCGACCTGTCTCTCGGATCGCTCCGAGAACACCTTTAGAGCTCCGGCGGCGACCGGAGTCGAGGCCATGAGGGAAGTTGAATCAGATATCACGGAACGAGGTCTCGAAACACCATATCGATTCAAGAGCAGCTGATCGTCATGCGGATCGATGATAATTCCGGGACGCTGGGAGTTCTACTGCTGCTCGAGATGCGACAAGTTCGATCCGTACTCTCAGCTCGAGCTTCACTCCCTCGCCTTTCTCTTGACGATAGAAACTCGAGTGGAACTTTAGCTGCTCAGGGTCAGAAACGTCACGGACACACGCACGAGAAAAATAATTCCGAAAAAGATTTGTTTTGGTAAACAAACGGACGAGCGATTGGTGTCCGACGTCTAGTCCTAAAGGACGGAAGTTCTACGGTCCGATCGACCCGCGCGTTTCACAATCTGGCCTCTCTCCGGTTCTCTCGATGTGTTGAGAAAATCTTGAGATCTCAGCAGAAATTTTCTGAAATCAGTTAAGAAATGCGGTCGTGTTCCTCATCTGTCGGAGCAACAGAATTGCTCTGTTTTGTCGAATCTGAGCTGTGGTCTCTACCTCCGCAGGGATGAGTGCTGTATCGACTATGATTGAGATATAAGGGCGACCATAGATCAGTTCGGAATTCATTCCGTCCAAGGGAATTCATCCTCATCTAACTCCTTCCTCGTCTTAGATAGCGAGGCTTTTGAAGGTTCGGAGTGAGCGTCCGTATAGAAATCATATCTCGAAACGTGAGAAGTCACCCGTTTCTGCCGCCGAAAACCGCCCCCTACGCTGGGGTTCGCCTCCGGTGGAGCTATCCGTGCGCACCAAAGCGAACTCAGCCATTCCTGGCCTCGCTTCCGTCGGTACCGGATTTCTCGGAATGTCTCCATGTTCGATGAGGCTCCGAAATCTCGTGAACGAGACCCGGACGCGCGCGAGTACACACAGCTGATCCGAAGGTTTTTCTCCATATTCGATAGTCCTCTGCCAGGGATCAGCGTCCAAGGTGAGGCCCCGAGTCTCCCATGTTCAGAGGGCAGGACTTCTCGCTATTCCACACGGACTCGCGGGAACCTTTCGACATCGGCGTTCAGGGTCCCTCGACCGTACACTCGATCGAATTGACGGAGAACTGGTTAGGAGACTTACTCCGCCAACATCGGGACTACAGTCTGAATTCGGCTCTGAGCTCATGGCATTTTTGAAATCGCAGAGATTCGATTGCCGCCGACGCTAACCACCATCGAGACGGTGAGCTCGGGTCGGCGCGGGCAGAGCCCGATGATGAAGGTCAAGTGCTTAGCAGCCGAGCAATTCCCCTACGCGTATTTACCTTGTGTCAGCGCTTCTCATAGAAGTCCCTAAGTCGGCCAAAAAAGCCAGAGTCAATATGAAGCAAAACCAATATTTTCCACTTGAGAAAGGGGCGGACCTTCAGAACGACGGTCCTTCAAATCAACCGCTAGCTCCCAGATTAGCGAGCTACGGAGTCGCAGAAACAACTCGAGTCCCGCCGATTCAGGGACTTTGGTGGGATTTCCCGATTCTGGGGAATTCCCTGACTTTGATTAATTGTACATACCTACTTCCACCAGCATCGGGAGGGGGTGATCTACGATTTATTCACGGATATTCGAACCCATCACCGACTAGACCCATCTCCGAAGATGGCTACAGCTGCCAGAGTAATCATCAATCCACTGATCCATCTACCGATCAAGATAGCTTAGCTGTGGTAAATCATCGATGCGTGAATTTCCATATTCTACATAGTTATGACATCGGGAAGAGAGAGCTGTCTCCATCGCCTCTCTTTCCCTGTCCTATACCCTATCGGAACACATGTCCAGGAAAGCGGAGGAGTGAATTCCGAGACGCAGTTTCTGAGAAACACGCGGAGATGCGCCCCCACGCAATTTCGACCACCTTGAGGTCTAAGAGACGCGAATCAATCTTCCGGCCGAGCGGGCCGGAACGCAGATCGAACCTCGTTAACGCTAATAGGGGCGAGAAGAGAGAAGAGTCACAATTAGGGAGAAAGGATTATGAGATGAGCAGCCACGCCAGCTTTTCAGGTCAAGGTGGTCGGAAGGGGGGGAGCATGTGCAGCATCGCGGAGAGCAGCCGCGCCTCGCAACGTTAGAGAGAAGGATCCGACTCAACGGGAAGTGGCAGACAGGGCTAACAGCGGGAGCTACCGAGGAGGAACAAGACGACCGGAGGAGGGTTCTGATCAGTGCGCCATCGGTCGCTTGCCTGGCTGTTTCCTGTCTGTGGCTGCCTGGAAGCAGGCAGTCGCCGTGCCGGCTGGCCTGGATGGATCAATGGGCCTAGAAGGAAGGAAAGCGGACCGTTGCTAGACGCGGAACTGAATGCCGCCCCTTCGCTTGCCTTGGTGGCCGCTCGCCTGTCTGTCTGTCAGCCGGCCCGCCCGCCTGCCTGCCCACCCACCCGCTCGCCCGTCTCACTGCTCTCCCGGAGCGGGCGGACTGAGCACCCTCAGCTTCGCGAAGGGCCCAAGTTGGCGGGTTGCCTTACGTAGAGACAGAGCGGGACGGCGGGAAACGGCGAGGGCAGTCCGAGCGGAGGAGGCAGCAGAGCACCAGGAAGGGAAGTGAATGCTTAGGAGAAGGAGTGCAGGAGGAGGAAGAGGAGTGCAGGAGGAGGGTTATGGTTGCTGCTGCTACTACTACTGCTGCTGCTCCTTCGTGCTCCTTCCTGCTGCCGGCGGCGGCGGCGGCGGCGACAACGGCGGCGGTAGCAAGCAGCTGAGCCCCGCGAAGCGTACCCCAGCGGCAGAGCTATTGGGAGCGGATCCCGGTCATCGCGAAGACTCGTTGGTGGCGGAGCAGGAGCAGAAGCATCAGGAGCAGCGGCACGGCAGGAGGGCTCAGCCAGCCAGCCAGTCAGTCAGACAGTCAGCCACCGATCCACCGTGCGGGTCAGCGAGCCAGTTCGCCAGCCAGCCAGCCAGCTAGCTCTGGAACCCACATACCTCTCAGTGAGCTAGCCGACAAGTACCATCTACCGTCTAGTTTTGCTTCGGGTTTGCGCCGCTGGAAAAATCCTCCTCGTCGCAGTGTGCTGTGTCGTCGGACCAAAAGAAGATCGAGAGGAATATGATGCCAGGTGGCTAGACGAATGGATGCTTCTGTCATCGCTCCGAGTGAACACGCGATCGGTCATGAGAGCGGACGAAGGCTGTTAACAGGTTCGAGCCACTGTGTCGACCCATCCCTCGCTCTGGAACTCGGACCAGTAGTCATGGCGCCGCCAACCGAATATCGGACATGCAGCCGGAAACGCAGGTAGGCGGGCGGACGGGCGGACGGACGCTCGGTCGCACTGGTGCCATTCCTCTGAGCGGGGAGCCCTACGGAGTAAAGTCAGCCAGCTCGCGTGTTCTCTGGCCGATGATCCGAACTATTGTCAGATCGACGTGAGCCTCCCCTCCGTACACCGGTTCACGGCGCGTGCAATCTGTTCCCGGATACTGAGCGCTTTCTGTCGTGTTGGGAATCGGGACCCTCAGGGTCCACGCTCTATGGGATCCCACGTCCAATGCGATTGATGTGAGACGGACGTGAAAGTCAACGAGCAACCAGTTCAGCTAGTTCGTGGCTCGGTGACGCTGATCGAGGTCCGCTAAGCAACAGCGGGGCAGCGACAGGCATCGAGTGTACGGCCCGCGAGCGGACAGATCACGCGAGCGCACGGGTGGCGGGCGTTAGGTTCGCCTCGACTCGCCGCGGCTCAAGTCGGCAAAACTCTCTTATTCTTATTTCCGCGCTGTCAGACAAGCAAGCTGCAAGGAAAGAGGAGGAGGCAGGCAGCCAGCCAGCCGGGCGGGCATTCACTCAGTAAGTCAAGCCGCTTCTCAGCACCTATCGCCCCGCGTCGCTGTTGGTGATGGCAACGACGACGTCAACGACGACAACGACAACAGCGACTCTGCCAACAACAGCAACAACGACATCATCATCGTTCTGAATCACGTCGCTTCATCGGGACGGACTTACGTGAACGTAGCGAGTTCAGCGCCGAGCGTCCCGGAGTCGCCTGCGGTTTGAATCTCGTGCTACGGGGCTGAGTCCGAATTCCCCGGTGACGGAGCGGAGCTCAAAGGAACTGATCTCGGAAGACGGCGAGTGAACGTGTGATGAGCGGCACCTCATCGAGCGTCTCTGCGTGTGTCGTCGCCTACGGCGTGTCTACGAAATTTTGAGTGCTATGCGTCGAACTCCTGGAGCCGGCCGCAGCGCTGTTTCTTCGGCAGGGGAGTGAGTACGGTTCGTTCGTGAATGCTGCCGGCGATACGATGCGACCACAAGTATTGACATTACTGGGACAGCATGGCAGCGAAATGTTGGCTTGTGTGACGACGCCATGGCCGGATATCGCCTCTAATATACAGGTGTGTACGACGACGCCTTATCGTCGGAACTGTACCTACTCGTTGTGGTGATTCTTACTATCTGAAGTATGTGTTGGCAGGAGTATGTAGTAACTATTGCTGAAGCAATGCGACGGGAGCTGGAGTCGAAGTCAAAGGCCTAACGTCTTCCCACACGGACGGAGTGAAGCTCCGCTGCGAGGCGAAAGTAACCTTTGCGAAGTTCAAACCTCCTTCGAAGCTATGACATTTAAAAGGTGTCTTTGACAAAACACAGCGACGGTGCTCAGCGGGAGAACGTCCCCTTGAAACAAGAGAATGAGATTCTTCCAAACGCGTGTTCCCCTCGGATTGAGTGAGGGATGAAAGGAGGCTCCGGACAGGCATTTCGATCGAAATTCAAAAATTCATCTTTTTCGTGATAAACTCACTATTATTGAATCCAGAATGACTGGGTCGGAACCAAATTCCGTCCCATTTCTACAGGACAGGGGCTCCATGCAGTTCCAAGCAACCTGTTGACGTAGGCTCGCTGCCTTCGAGGCCTGAATGGATTCAGTTGAGGCCGCCCGTGACATTTCGCTCAATCATTGAGACGGCATGACATCGATGCTCATCGGGCCGCCATAAGTCCATAGACTCGTCGAAGAAATAGGCTCGTCAGCTCAAGGAGATCAATTGACTGCGAGCGTCCTCAGGACACTCATGGACAGTGATTCGGCTCAGATCCACGTGACAGACCAGCGTCGGTCGTTGCGCAAGTCAAGAAAATTCGCGATTCCTTGATGAGATTTTTGTCGTGATCTGATCGCATGATACCGAAAAGAGAGATCGCTGATTTTCCGGAAATCATGAGTGAGATGGAATCTGAGTCTTCTCTCGTTTATGACGTCTGGTCATTTTTTGTCGGAGATCCTGTGACCGGATAGACGGCGCCATTATATTGGAGAGATATGCGACGAGCAACGGAATATCCGCGCCAAGAATTATTGAAGGCCGAGACCTCAAAATCATAGAGCCATGATCTCTAGCCAAGCTTGTCGTCGAGTCGGTCCCGAGATCTTTCGCTTAAGGCCACGCTGCCCGGCGACTATTCGACGAGTGTGAGGGACGCTTCAAGAGAGAGTAACCTCGAGAGAAAGCGGCATGATGGCGAATACGACATACGCAGTCGAACGCGCAGCCGCCGGTCAGTCGTATGCGGATTAGGGTCTTTCTAGTCGCTCCCCCCTACAGATTTCTCCCTCTCGATTAGCCATCTGAGGCTTTTGGATTTACTCGCGCAAGTCGAGTTTCATATCGTTGTCAATCTTCCATGGCCCATGTCTCCCCCGAGGCACACACATCTTCCGAAATGATCGACTGTCACCCAGCAGACGATCAACCACATACAGTCACCAATGATGTTTCTTTCGGGTTTCCTCCTTGGGATACACATCATCCCGCTCCGACGTCGGCGAAATTCCCGGTGGACGGAACGAGGGGGAAGTGGGGAAAGGGGTTTCTTGTCGCTGGAGCTCCCATGATTCGAAAAACCCTTGACTTCATCGAGCCGACATTGCGCGATTTGACTTTGCGGAAGTCAAAGGGCCTGGTGGCCGCTATCGATATATCAACCTAGAACCTTGCGACGCGACGCTGTGAGAGAGCGTTTTTCCATGGCCCGGGCAACATGCCCCAGTGGAGCGAGTCCGGACGCACCTTCAGTCCCGGGATCGGGGCTCCGGGAGTGATCCAACCAGTTGTACTCTTTATTGGAGGCAATACATTCGATATCCATTCTCTTCGATACCTCTCGCCGCTGATAAGCTTCAGAAGGCAACGGTGTTCACTCGGATCGGATACTCAGCCGTCAGAAGGTTCGGCCCGGCTGAAGTCGATGCCCTGCATGAACGAGGAAATATTGGTCGACGTCCGTTGCCACTAATTTACGGTTTCCTCCGCCTAAACTAGGAAAGCCGATGTGAGGTGGGCGGAGGAGGTCTGATCGCTCGAGGCTAATTCTGCTTGATCCTTCCAGCATCCGTCTTCAAGCATGGGCCGGAATCAGTCATAGGGCCGAAATGACCCCCATGATGCGTCAGTCTCGTCGGAGATCGATATGGATCTTCGTGATCCTCTGCTTCTCGCATGGGATACACGGAATCCCCTGGAATTGCGATTTCGAGTCGCCCTGTGCATGGCAGATCGAAAACGGCTTCGTGCTCAACGCAAGAGAGAACGCCACCTTTTTCACGGAGGCCAACTCTTCGCCTCCCGAGGTGGACGGGTCTCGCCGCTCTGAAGGTAAGTTCCTCCTCGTTTGCGACGATGTGCAGATGATTTCGCATATGGCTTTCCAGCCTTCGGTCTTTGACATGTCCTCCGTTCGGCTCTTGCCAGGGACACGTCTCCACAGACTACGGCGTCGAGATGGCTTATCGAATTCTGACGTGCGAATGCTGGTTTTTTTCCGCAGGACACTTCGCCTGGACACAAGGGCCGAACTTCAAATTGCATCTGGCCAACCTCGCACCGGTCAGGAGCGACAGATGCACTCTGCTCCTAGACGTCTATCGGTCAAACTACAGCAACGCCATGCTGAGCGTGAGTCTATTACGTTTTGAATGGAATCGAAACGTATCTCGATCTTCTCGGAGGATCGATTCAATAATGGATTATCAATTCGACAAGCTGAGGATAATAACACGATATGGAATATAGGTGTTCCTATCGGATTGGCAACACACCAAGGAAATGTATTCCTTATCAACGGAAGTCATTCCGAACGGCAACTGGCACTCGGCAAAAGTAAGACTTACCTTTCGATCGTTGGTTGAAGCCGTTGGTCACATGTGGGGGCTGACTCCTTCCGCAGGGGCTTCCTGCGATGGTGGTTTGAGCTCTCCGCTGCCCTCGATACCTTCGGGACAATGCGTAATACCTTTCTCACGTTGTCCAGGTTTTCCTCGGCCTATTGGACGAACCATTCAACCTGACTATTGAGATTCATCCCAGTATTCAACGGCCTATCCCAAATACGAGTAAGGCGGCAGCTCAAACAAGCTTCCGGAGAGTGCCTCGTAAGGCTGAAAAGTTGCGGGGAGCATATATCGCATTTGATAACATTCTCCTGAAAAAGTGCTTCAAAGGTACGTCGTAAAGGAAAGACTGATGGAGCCTCTTTCGCTCGTCGCGACGCTTCGATAGGTGGAGGGAGCGTCCCGAGATGATAATCTCGAGTTATGCATCGTTGTTACCGATTCCGTGTTTGTTTTGCAGAACCAGTCCAAAACTGTGGACCAAGAGAGTACCGTTGCAACGGAACTTCTGGGAACACGACCATATGCGTCGACGAGAGCAAGCTTTGCGATTTCGAAGCGAATTGTCCTCAAGGTGACGACGAAACACTGCCGCGTTGCAAGAACATTCCCGCCAACGCGTGAGTTCCAGAACGATACCCATACCCCACGACTTCAGCAGGTTGACCGAAATCCGGGTTCTGTTTTGAGCTCTCGGAATTTCGAATCGTTCCTTTCCTTTTTCGCAGGCGATGTAATTTCGATGATGACACGCTGTGCAAGTGGGCGGCAAACGTAAGTGGCTTGGAGTCTCATTCGAATCACAGGTGTCACCATGAGCATTCGGCAAATCAAGCCGTGACGATCCACGGGATATCTCGCAGGGATCAGCTTTTGTGTATACTCGATTAATTTTGTCGCGATTCTCGCAGGTGTCCACGGATGGGTCCGGTTTTGAGCTGCGGCCGCTTCCGCACGAGAACTCTTCGTTCACTTACGATCACACGACAGGTACCGCAGCGGGACGCTTCATCTGTTCGCGGAAGAGGAGCGGCACTGATCCTCTGCAGCCGATCACGTTGACGTCCCCCCTCTTCCCGCGTCTGCCGTACTACCACTCGAACAATGAGAGCGCTTGGTACCAGAGTTGCCATTTCCGATTCTTCTTCTACAAACCGAAGCGAGTCAACGCCGCCAATGTGTTCTTCGACGTCAGAGAGAACGATCCTAGGTCAGTTTAGTCTGCATACTCGTCGAAGCCGTACTCTTCGAGCCGGTTCCTTGTCATCTATATATAGCTAATGCATACAAAAACAGAGAAATTCTCCACCAGGTATGCGGACGGGCGAGAAATAGCCATCTGGCCCCGAAAGAACGATAGAGATATGTCAAACGACCGTTGGGTCGCTGTTCAGGCCCCCCTACCGACTATGTTGCGCTATGATTTCCGAGTAAATCTCTACGTGCACTATTTTCGTATCACCTCTGACGTGTGCATAGGCATCGACGACATCTCGCTGAGTCCGGCGTGTTTCGGTCTCGGCGTCCCAGCCAACGAAACGAGGGAGTACCCAGGTGAATGAACCCTCCGAACCTTCCTCCGGGCCATTCGGAGCGTAGTACTTTTTTCTGCCCGTGATACGGAATCGCTGTATTCGTAGCTGCCCGAGACCTTCATGACTGTGCGTTGCAATCTGGAAGGGGTCGTGATCCGATTGTCGCATTCGGATCCTACCGGAATATCTCATTCAATGGAGCTCTTTCCTCTCTCGAAGCTCATCTCCTGCAAAACCCCGACTCCGAGCGCATTCTCCCGGGCAACATCACCATGAAGTACGAATTCGACTCGTGTGGAATGTCGGGGAAACACGGCCCCACCGATGAGCAATGCAGAAAGCGATACCAATCTCCACTGTCGAAGCTCGTGCGTGTTACGAAGCAGGGGACGCAGATCTGGCAGGTGCCCGAAACGGCTGTGTACACGTAAGTGGTTGTGTAATGTGGCCTTGAATTACGGAGCTGATGACAGCTTCAAAGGAAAACTATATCGATACTTTACGAACGATTTTGAAAGGATCTTTCCCTGTTCAGAATCTTCGCTGTCGGAGCGTCGGGAGGCTTCGGGCTCAGGAACACCGGGAGAACCGAGGGCGCTTACGTGAGAGCGACGTTCAGGTTCACCAAGGGACAGAAAATTCATATTTTAGTTGGACAAAAGGGTTCCGCGCCTTGTGATACGCCTGTGAGTGGAAAGGGACCTCCGACGGACTCATCAAGAAATATTCCAATGTTCTTTTGCCAGATCCTATGCAACACAATGACCTGTCGAGAGTCAGAGATCTATGGACTAATCGACTGTCCACCCAACAGATTCCAGGGAAAAGCAAAGACATTTGCGTCCGCAACAGCGGCAAACAACGACGGTACGCAGATAAATTCCAGAAACTCCAGAGGGGGATCAGAGACGAGAGATTACTCCCGGGGGGAGGGGGCGGAGGAGCGACGTTCGTGTTCCGAGAGGATGCCGCCTCAGAACCGAACGGGAAGCCAAACTTCACCCCATTGCTCATAGCTGCTGGTGGAGGCGGACTTGCCGCTGAGAAAACTGATCAGGTACCGAGACTATAATCGAGATGTATGGAGACCATACGAGCTATATACGAAAGAGCAAGCGAGCGGGAAGCGGGAGCCACCTGCTAATCAACGCTTTCCGCATACTTGCAGAACCCTGGAGATACCGTGGGTGACATATTTTATGAAAATGGTGTTTTTGATGCGAGCGGTACCAGTTTGGCAGACACGCGAAACGGAGCTGGAGCTGGCGGAGGCTGGTCTTCCGAATATAGAACTTCGCCCACTGTCGACGGGCAAAGTCTATTAAGCGGAGCTAACGGTGGTGATCCCTGTAAAAACGTCGAGCCCTGGAAGACTTACGGAGGCTTCGGGGGAGGCGGCGGAGGATGCTCAGGTAAACTCCTATGAGTTCATGAATTCTAGATCGGAGACAAGAGCGATGTTCATCATCGACCGGAGATGTGTTCACTCCTAGACTCCTACGACTCCTCTCTGAATTATAGGCGGTGGAGGAGGAGGAGGATGGAAAGGCGGTGACGCAGTTGCGTCTAAAATGCTCCAGAACGGAGCCGGAGGAACTTCCTTCATTCTAAAGAAGGAAACACTCGACAGACCGTCGGTGTTTAGTGGCCTTCAACAGCCCGCTTACCTCAAGCACTTCAAGAGCAGGGTCAAGGTGAGACGAGCCATTCGAGACTCATGAAAAAATCCCTTGAAGATGTATCGGCTGGCCTCTTGACGTACATTCGGTACCCCGTCGACCGTATCGAGGACGTCCGAATAGATTCGATGCTTCCCGGAACGAGGTAGAAAAGCATCTACCGAGATCCTCGGAGCAAGATGAATACCTGAATGTCGATGCTCATCCATAGCGATTATCTTTTCAGGGCGACGATGTCGGTCATGGCTTTGTAATTGTCGTCAGCTCAAAAAATATACTTTGTCCTTGCAAAGAGATTTGTATACCGGTGTCTTTAGCGACGCGCGCACCGACCAATGAGGATCCTTCATTGAATCCCACTTTCCGGTGCGCTTGCGAAAAGCCCACTAAAGTTGTCAGTCGGCACGACAGTGAGTTCTCTTCCCTGTTTTCTCATCCGTGCATAACAATCGGAGTCCTCTTCACGATTCCTTGCGCATGGCATTCGACTGAGATTCCGTCTTCCCTGCAGATATTACGTGTGTCGATCCTGCATACGACCAGAGTATTACCGAGCTTCGCTTGTCGTCTCGACATTTCCTGATGCTGGTGATTTCGACGGTTGTCGTCCTCGTGATCGCAGCGTTCTTCTTGTTCGTCGGGAGTAAGTTCGCAGGAATCTGTACGCATATCAGCCCAGACCCAGACCCAGACCCAGACCTGCCCAGACCCAGACCCAGACCTGTCTTTACCGAAGCCCGAAGGGGAACTGACAAAATCTCTTTTCTTCGAGCAGTTTCCCGCTGCCGTTTCAACAAGATCACGGAGGCGGATGGCCAACCCTTCGGCCGAAGAGAACACTCTTCCGCTGAATTGCAGCTGAGCCGATTGAGGCAACAAACAGGCATGATAACCGAATACAATCCCAATTATGAGTTCGGCGCGACGGCATGCGGCCTTCATGATCTTCGCGAAATTCCCCGAGAGCATCTCAAGCTCGTGAAGTGAGTCTTCGGCGCGGTCGTCGGAATCTCGTCTCTAAAGATATCCATCCAAGCCCCATCATCCTTCGCATTGGCATAATTCCGTTTTCTCTCACGACGTTTCCAGAGCGCTAGGACAAGGCGCTTTCGGCGAAGTATATCAGGGTACACTCTCCTATTTCAACGGGGAGCCTAGGGAATTCTCAGTAGCAGTGAAAACCTTACCCGAATTATCTACGGCTGATTCTGAGAAAGTGAGTTTACCACGAGTGACTGATGTTTAAGTCAATTTCCACGCGGTTTCGCAGCTAGGCCAAATCATCTTAATCACGCGTCCCGAATCTCCTTCCAGGACTTTATTACGGAAGCTTGCATCATGAGTAAATTCTCCCACCCAAACATCGTATCTTTCTTGGGCGTGTGTTTCGACAGAATGCCGAGGTAATTCCGGAAATCGACCGCATGCCGATGAGGGCGCAAGGAGGACCCACTCCTCTAATATAGGCTTCTGAGGCGGGCGCCATCTTGGGATCACTTCTAGACGAACGGTTTCGTTTTATTTCAGGTTCATAGTCTTGGAACTGTTGGCAGGAGGTGATCTGAAATCCTTCCTGCGAGAAGTGAGGCCGCTGCCGAATCGCCCTAGCGATCTGAAAATGGGAGACCTGCTGCTGCTCGCGGTCGATGTCGCCAAAGGTTGTCAGTACCTCGAGGAGAAGCGCTTCATCCACAGAGACATCGCGGCGAGAAATTGTCTGCTCACATCCACGTTGCCTTCGGAGCGGAAAGTTAAAATCGCCGATTTCGGTATGGCGAGAGACATATACAGGGCTGATTATTACCGCAAGGGAGGTAAGGCGATGCTACCGGTGAAGTGGATGCCGCCCGAAGCTTTCCTCGATGGTCTGTTCACGAGCAAGACCGATGTCTGGTCATTCGGCGTTCTGCTCTGGGAGGTGAGTTTCCCCCCCCCCTCTCTGTACTGCAAAGTTCGACGACAGAGATATTCGAGCCAGATGAGGAGCGAGAGTGTCATAAGTCATGAGTCGTCATGACATGACCTTTTGAGGTCAGGCTGGTGCCTAAGTCGCGATAGTGGGAATTGGAAATTCTCATTCGTGCCATCGCTTGCAGGTCATGTCCATGGGTTACATGCCGTATCCTGGACGCGGGAACCAAGAAGTAATGCAAATGGTCACCGGCGGAAGCCGTCTGGAACCTCCGGATAAATGTCCCGGTCCAGTCTATCACTTGATGACACAATGCTGGCACAGCGACCCCGAAGAGAGACCTTGCTTCAGCGTCATCATTGAGCGACTTGGATATTGCCTGCAAGATCCCGATGTAACTTCAGTCGAGCTTCCTCTAACTTCAAATGCGCCGTCCATGGATTACGAAGGAGCGGCCATAATATTTTCGGCACTTCGCCAATCGAAAGAGCACGTTTTCAACGAAAGTGCTCCACTTCTCTCGTCTCCGTCCACTGTCGAGGTGAGCTTGTGCTGCCATGCTCGACGGGAATTCCGTCTGGGAGCGTTCCGATTCCTTCTATATCGCGGAAAATTGCTGCTCGATTGCGGAGCATGAAATCCACATATAATTAGAAATGATCTACCCTTCTCTCGCAGGCAACTCCGACGTCGCCGTTGGACGACTACATGATTCCAATGGGCCAATACGTAGGCAATGACCCCAAAAAGAGAATCAATTACCCAATGGTTCCAGTTTCTCCTTCTGTCGCGGAGGCCTCATATCCTCTCCAGCTGCTCCCAGCTGACCAAATATCTCCGACATTCCCGGCTCCCCCTCCGCCGAGGCAGGTCGAGGACCGGAGGAGACACGGGGCCCAGCGTTCCGACGAAGCCACATATCGACCAACAGCTATGGTGAGTGATTTCGTAGGCGCCATCGCGGGCTGAATTGAATAGATACAATTATCAATTCATGAAGCAGTCGATGAGATGGTGTGAGCTTCATCTGCGACGAGCACCTCAGCGGCTACCGTGTTCATCTTGATCTCTGATTTTTCTTTCTGCTTGACTCTGGATTCAGGATGAAGCGGAACTACCGATCTTGGAACCACTCATGCAGTCGCAAAATCAGCAGAAGAAGAAGACCTATTCGAACGTCTGCTTGGACCGGAGCCGATTGAGCGCCTCAGGAAGCAAACCAGACAGTTTCGGCGAAATCAGTTGTTGATTCCATTGCCCTACTGTTCGAGATAGACCGACTGCCGGCGATCGGTCGATGGTTTCGAGGAGAAGGTTTTCTGCGAAAACATTCAAGAACTTCAGCATGCGCGGAGAGCGAGCCTGTGGTAGACGAGCTCTGCGTGGGAGCGGGAGATCCCCACATTCAACTTCAATGCGATGGGGAATAGCTGAGAAATCGTCGCCTGTTCAACGTGCGAGCTACGCGGTCAAAGACGGAACTCCCATGAGGGCTGCCGATTGCGGAGCTATGACCGCGAGCACTGCGCCTGGAACCTCAACGAAGGGGGCTCACCGCGGACGGAAATTCTGATGATTCCAATCTCCACCCTACGCCGTATCGTCAACCAGAGCGGAACCACCGTGAAGCTCCCGCAACCATTCATCCGTCTTTGGATAATAAAATCATCGAGTGAACACATTATCGTGTGAATGAAGACGCCGATAACAGCAGCGACTCCAGTAATTGAAACCTCGTTTTAGCACGACAACTATCGCCACCTCTCAATCGGTTCATCCGCATTGTTGAATCTTAAATATGAGACTAGAATTTGATGAGTCGACCGACGGGAGAAGATGCTTACTTTGGAAATACAAAGTCAAACTTTATTACACTGAGTCAGGGGTGGAGGCCGAGGAAGGCGAATCAGAAACAGGTTTATTTTGTTACAAGCCACTCGGATGATCTAGTCGATCATCGATATGAGGATTACTGGGACAATGTCGACTAGGACCGGATATGAGGATGATGACGAAGATAACTACTATCTGGACAACTATTGAGGAGCATGGAAGAGTTTAGTAACGTGTTACTTCGTTCATATTTGATACGTTCGCTGCTGTGAACCCAAATGAGGTATCAGCGGGGGCTTAGATAGTGAGAGTTCCCCGCTCCTCGGGTCTCGATCGACTTTGGAGGTGTGTCGATCACCAGGAATACCGCTAACCGATTACCGCTCGCTCAATATCTACACAGGATACTCTGGGAGGTTCCAAATGAGGTTCGGAGAGTTCCCAACTAAAATGAACCTTGCGGTTCTCGGAGAAGCCGTCTGAGTCAGGATGTAGCGGCTGGACGGGGGAAGGAGCGGAGCATAGGAAAGGCGAGGAGATGAATAGAGAGCTACGTTCGCATCCAGACAGGCGATTGCGGCTTTCGAGTATCGTCCGCAAATTATTGTGGAAAGGGAGTTCTTTGGTTGAACTCCGATCTCCCGGGAGTGTGGAAAGGAATCTAATCGGATCTCAGCCGGAGAGAGTAGGAGGAACATCTGTAACGGACAGGAATACCAAAAAGTCTGCACACTTTAGTAACAACCAAAGTCATTTTATTGGTCGGCGGTTTAGATTGACGTTATCATGACGCGAAGGCTCTGTGTGTCTATGTTGACGGGGCGAGGACAGTGAGCGGGTTCCACTGATGCTCAGAACGGGATCTCGGCTTTCTGGAATTTAGCGCTGACTCTATCAGGCGACGGGGTAGGACAGATCGTCTCAGCTGTGAACACCCCGAATCGTAGCTACCTGACGACTGTCCGGCTCTGCGGAGAACCGAGGTCCCAATTTAGGTAGGTCCACTGTTGAATTCCCTCACCTCTACTTATGTGATATACGATAAATGGTATGAACGAAGGTGCGTAGTATAGACTCAAGAACAAGAGGTTAGCACGATATCGCTTGTGCTTGAACCCTCGTAAGTTACATTAGACACCAATGACGATGACCGTTAGGGATATGAACCACGAGGAATCGAGATGATTCTCAGCGGCCAAAGGGCTTTGCGCCAAAGTTTGAGATAAGCTTCCGGCTCGCAAACGAAACGCTCGTCGACATTAGGCGAGTCTTCAGTCAGAGCTGACTGAGAACAGTTGATGCTGAGTTGCTTCTCGTTGATTTCTCGGTTGCTCCCTCCTCTCTTGCCTCGCTCAGGAACACAAGTGTCAAACCGTTGAACAAAGTTACTGAAAGTCCGGACATAAGTTCAGGGATGCGTCGGCAGATCTTGTCTTCTCTTGCTGAGGAAGCGGAAGTTGGCACGAGACCGGAGACATTAACGAGGGAAGGTATGAGTAAGTTGAGGATGATTATCACCCTATAATTGGTTTTCGACCGCGGCGCGTGGAGTCACGCATTCAGATGAGACTCGAGCTCGATCGACAGTGCTTCATCGAGAGAATCAGAGTTACAGTTGCTAACAAGTCTTGTTGTAATAAGTTATGGACAAAATACTTGGCAAAGTTTGTATAAATACAAAGTACAACTCCGAAATCGAGAGTTAAGAAGAGCGCAGTAAACGTTGTAACATGTAGCCGAACGTGTATTCATTCTCGGCTAGAAGCCAAATCCATTTGCTTGGAGTGCCGGCTCCTCCTGGGCGGCCGTCTATTCCTTCCCCCTAGAGTTTAGAGGAGGGCCTCGTATGGTTCAGATCTCAGAACTATGATTAGGTTCTCGGGAAACTGAAGAAATTCGGAAAAATTATAGTGGAAAACTTTGGGGACGTCGAACCAGAGCGTCAGCCTGATACGTCTCTACTTCTCCCCGAAAACGTATTGGACCGGGCCCAAGCCAACCTTTCTACCCGAAGTCACGTTCTCCGAGAGCCTCCATTCGATCAAGATTAGCGTAAAGACTGACTATTGAATACGCTGACAAACGTCTGCGGTGGAGAGAGAACGAAAAACTCGGCGGGATGCTGCACCGGCACGCCGTCGACTACCCACGCATTAGGCTGGTGAAAGAATTGAATGCAATCGAGGTTCATTAGCAGACAGTTAGAAGGAGATTTATTGAATTCATTTTTCGTCTAAAATCACATCAGGTATGTCCAATTCAATGGATCCAGACTATCTAACGAATATCATTCATCGGTGATCTCCATCCGAGCTCGGTTTCTCGGTTGTTGCCCCGACGTCATTTAATCGACTACCGTCACCTCGTGGCAATGGTCGCCGAAATCGTTCGCTGCTTTCGGCGCACTGGAATCTGACTAACAACAGTCTTAGCTTTCGGTGTTCATCTCGTTTGAACACACGGACTATAAAAGGAGATTCTTGGATTCTGATCAACAATCAACTTTTGATCTTGACCTCATTGTACATTTTGAAACTGCTACTTCTCCATTCTGCCTCCCGTGCATTGTCGCGACTTTCTCCGAGTCAAGGGGTCGAACATTTCTCGGACTGCCTCCGTGAGGATCCCCGATTCAACGGATTCATTCGCTACCAGAATGAACAGGTAGATGAGTGAGTCTTGGCTATGATGACGGTGGAAGTTGTTCGAGTGTATCGTCTGTAGTCTGAGTACCGTGGACTAAGGATGCGAATCGAAATCGGGGCTCTATATTAATTGACATTCTGCGCAAGCGATTCATTTCGAGGGTAGGCGGTTTCTACCTCGAATCACAACTTATCCGAAATGACCGAAGCTTACCTCTGGGAACCGAAGTTCTGCGCCTTGTATCTATCAAATAACATAGACGAAGCTCTCAGGACGTCCTTCCAAAGCTTTGAATCAGTCCGGTGAACTTCTCAAGAACCGAACAAGAAACTTGAAATGCATAGTGGCTTGATTGATAGAGGTTATTCTCCACGTTCGACTTCCGCTGTTTGGGTTCATCCTTCCTGTGCAGAGAATCACTGCGGTAGTGATTTTCGCCGATGCGGTCCCGATTTCCCTCGCTTTGTACAGGGCATCCCAAGAATTCGAGACCAGAACCATGCTGTCGATTCGAGAAGCGATCGAGGGACGACGCGACGCCTCTGTTCTCTTCGCACGCGATCAATGGTACCGTCATTGATCGCAGAGCGATTTTCTCCTTCGCTCCAATTTTTCCAGTCTACGAGGTGAATCGTATCAGAATTCAACCAAAAGTTTGAGCTAAGGTCAAACATCCGTAGGAGAGCATTCGCCGATTTTTCACCGGTGGTGGGCGACTGCGGTGGTTGCTGCATCACGGAATCAGCCATGCTTGTCGGGGAAGGGTCGCGCGGTCATTGGGGATAGTCAGACTTTGAGCCAGCGATCAATTGAATATTCTAAGGAAGCAAGCCATCTGTGGACGGGAAAAAGGACCGGAGTTGGACTTCGTTCCGCGCGCCGCGCTTTTTCCAGATTGCGCGAGCCCCCAAAAGGATCGCTGGTGCCGTGTTTGCGAAACGTTCGGCTGTTTACAGATACTCGCCCATGACAAGTCCGAGGCAGTGCTCGGGGAGAGAGATCGCAAATGAGTTTCTGATGGAGAGCAATAAAAACAAACTCACCTTTTCTTCTCTTGCTCGCTCTCAGCGAGGAACAAGAGGTTGTTCGTGAAAGGTCTCGGGGCAATGGCTTCGAAAATGTTCTTCTTGCCCATTGTCGACGAGCTTTGGACTCGGTAGCCGTGAAGCAAGTACACTCCTACAATCGAACGAGGACGCAATTACTGCATGCTCTCCCCGAAATGGTTGTTTTCTGAGAAAACTACACCATTCGGTTGAATACACAAGTCGGAGCGACTGTTGGGTCTGCGATCGGGAAGCCGTGGTCGAGTGATCTCCAACTGTTTGCCTGGAGTGGCAGTTGGCGCGCAAATTATGCACACATGCTGCCGAGTGGCGCAAAACTCACCTAAGGCCCTCTGGTCGTTCCTGTCCTCATAAACGTATAGCGATGCATCTTTGAGCACCAAGTAACAATTCTTCCAGCTGGTGCACTTATCGTTGAACTTGCATAGAAATCCTTGACAATCGGGCTGCGAGATGGAGTCGACAGGACGAGCAAGGTTTTCTTCAACTTCTTTCATGAAACGTTCCTGGTGCTGCGGGAAGAAGTCATCTTATCCTCATGCGGAGTCGTGCGTCCATCAGAAGATGAGGCTCCTCCCCCCGTCGTCCCCGGGAACCTATCTACCAAGAACATGGCGCTTCAATTAGTGAGAGAGGCCGGTCATACCGTCAGGGAGGTGCTGGCCATTTTTTTGAAAGCCTCAATCCACTTCGTGGCGCTGTCCTCGTCATCCGCTGCAAAGTAGGTTCCACTTCCGGATGTGTTGTTCTTGTTTGCAGAGCCACCTTCAAACGTCAACTTGAAGGCGTGCTCAGCTCCAGGCTCCACGACGCGTTCCACCTTGAGGTTTTCGACCATGAGGGCGCCTAGAGGATCTGTCTCGCCTTTGGCCATAAACCAGCTGAGTCTGCCGCTTTTCTTCAGAACGAAATAACGCCGGCACCATCGACGACTTGAGCTCGAAGAGAACAGTCGTTGCAGATAGCCCTGGTAAATTAATTACTTTCTCGGTCAGACCCCATTCCAGACATCGAGCACGTTTTCCTCGTCTTTGTCGAACTCCTCGCCGCCGAATCTCGACCACTTGACCGGAGCCAGATTTTGCTCACTCGGGTAGCGAACTCTAATCAGATAATGCTTATTCAAGCACCTGATTGCCTACCTGCATCTCTGGTTCAGGTACGTCGACTTTAGGTGCAAGGATATGACACGTGCGCGCTAGCTCTAATTTGAGCGTTTCAGCTCCGGCGTGGGCAACGCGGACCACCTCGGTATGTGACGCGTCCATGACGCTTACACCATTGATTGATACAATGATATCGCCCACTTCGAGACCGCAGCTCTCTGCTGGAGTTCCCTTTTCTATCAGGGAGACAACAACCGGCCGCGACCCGTGGATACGGAAGCCGAACTCTCCATTCTGTCGCTCGATCCTTACAGTCTTTGTCGGCTCTGGAGAGGAGCGCGCCGTTAGCCGACCGAGCACGGGGATACCGAAGAATGAGGGATGAATCGTCAATTTCTGTTCGATTGACTCCTGGACTCACCTAAGGATCGTTGCATAACTCGCTTGTACATCTCTAAGCTAGCCTTTCTATGAATCATGCGGTGCGTGATGGTTGTGTAGTGTTTTTGAAAGGCGCGCTCCGAATCCGTGGAATCACATCGTATCAGATTCTGCTTAATGATCAGCTGGGATCGGTCTTCTTTAGCTGAAGCAAACGTGGACGAAATCTTATTAGGTTTTCACATAGTCCCCCAGGACGCGTCTCGATCATCGTCGGGGATTTTCCCTGGGATAGTTCCCGAGATACGCCGCTTGACGACTTCCTATGCACTTACGAGCGTTCTTCTTGACGCCCCCGTTGTTCGACCTCCACGTCATTACTTCGTCTTCGCTCGTTATGTAAATCCATCGGCTCGAGAGAAATGAATCTGCGTGCATTCCAAAGTCCTCGGAGTCTTCGCGCAGCTGCGTCGTGATAATGCTGCAAGTCGTCGTCAATTCGCACGGTCCGCGCGACAGAGATCTGTGGGATAGCCGATATCATTACCGACATGCCGATGCGCTTGTGTATCGTACGTCTAGCGATAGGCGCGGCAAACACCATGGTCAGAATAACAATTTACTGAATTTCTGTCAGCGTACGTCAGGGGACCGCTGCGGTGGAATGACATGCGTGGAATTCTTCCCAGTCCTACGGGCTATTACCTGCCACGCTTGGCCGCGGTTTCAGTCAAGACACGATCCTTCCGACCGCTGCTGCTACTGTTGCTTGTCGGTGTTGAGGAAGGCGTCCCGGGCTCGGTGCTGCTGCCTTCTTTGGTCGAGTCCCGTAGAACGTTTTTCCGGATGACCTTGTCCTTGCTCTCCCGTTGGTGAATTTCCGCCAGAACGGTGGTGGTTCGTGGTGGAGCTATGGATGCGAGGAGAAACAAGCTTCAAACCGGGACGCATCCTCATTTATAACATCCTATCCCTTCGTGCTGATAACGTCTCTCTCATGCCCACCAAGCCCCGGCCACCATGATGCTTCTGATTGGAGGAACAATCTTGTGCCTTAGAGGTACAGGCTAGATATGGGAGTGCCCTCCGAATGCTCGAACGCTGGCCGGGCTGGTTGTGCCTCATCGCTTTTAGAAATTCAGTCGTATGTGGGAAAACTGTCATTCTCATTCCCGGCGTGGAGAATCTGCGGGGATTCTCGGAACCTGTGAGTCATGAATCGTGGCGGATGATTTGCATTGATTGCCCCGTGCCTCAGGCGGAGCCTCGTAGTGGGATGAACTTCCCTACCTGCCCCAGTAATTCGTCAAGTTGTTCACTGTAAAAACATCCATCCGGCCTGGCACGCTGTCGACGATTTCATCAAGCTTAGCTAATGAGAACGCTGACGTGGGGATGGCAGCACGAAGCAGAAGAGAACTCTGAGCCCGAACTCACCTATGGGAACCGGAGGACCCATTGGTTGAGGTTCTAGGTCTAGAAGCTCCGATGCTCCGGACTCCACTTCGTGGGTCGTTGACGTGGTCGGTGCCTCGCAGATGTCGGTGTTGGCGGCGGCTGCTGGTGTTTCCTCTTCCTCTAGCGATGGCTGTTCAGATTGGCCCTGCAGACGGCTTCCGAACATGATGGCACGCAGCTCCTCTGGCTTGAAGGTCATCGAAAGTGAATCGGCACTGTCGTTTGGCGTAACCTCGATGCAAGTTCCACCACTCTCGTTCGATGCGTTCAGTTCCGCGGACGTATCTGCAATTCGAGATTCGACATTGATCGCTTCCCAAACATTGATCGCTAGCGGGTTGCGTGATGAACAAGCACTTCCTATCACCGACGAGAAGCTTATGCGGAGAACTTAGAATTTGACGCGTGAGCTACCTCTGAGTTCGGTGGAATCCTGGTCGAGAACGCTAGCTTCATTATGTGCATCTTGGAAATATCTCCTTTGAGGTGATTCGGGTCGGTGATAAATCCTTTTGATGGTTCCCGTTGAGCCACAAGAGCTGGTCGGAGTATAGCGTTCCGTGTTCTGATGCTCAGATGTTGAATTCTCCTCAGAGACTTCAGAAACTGTCGACAATTCGTCGTATTGCCGCAAATCGGCTCGCCCTGGAAGGTTGTAGTCTCCAGTGAGTCGTAGTACCGAGACGAAGATCAGGAGCGACTGGGGATTCCAGGAAGAGCGTCAACTCGCGGTGTCGCTTTCGGTGCCCTTCCCGAGAGGAACTCACCCAAAGCGTTCTGAACATCACGGAACGTCATCAAGGGAAGTATGAGAGCTTTCCCGTGCATCTCGTCCTCGAACACCTCGCAGATATGCGTGGGCGGCTGCTGGTCCAACGGAGGGAATCTCTTGTGGCTCATTTTCGGAGAAGAAGTTTCGATGGGTGAGGGCAGAGCTGTGACCTCCATCGGTTCGTCGTCGTCAACTGGTCCGAGCGGATCTTCTGCCTCGGCGTCATCGTCAGACTTATCGGTCTCGCCTGGAATATCCGGAGAGAGAGAAGCGAATGAAACCGAGGCGTTGGAGATGTCCCGCTCACTCATCGTCTCCAAAGTTGGGGAGACAGAATCTCGAATGAAACCGAATCCTGATGGGAAAATATTTCTCTTGTCGACCTAATTTGTATGTCTTGCCTTCGATGCCCTCGGCGGTGCCAAGGGAGTATTCCCCTTCTGAACTCTGGTCATCCTCAACGGGATCCTCGTCTGCTGGCTCTTCCTCTTTCTTCGTCGAGTCCTCCTCGCTGGAACAAGGGATCTCCGCGTGCTCCGCCAAGCGCATTTCAGCGGGAGGCGACGGCAAACTACTTCGGTCCAAACTCCCGGATCTCTGTTGTTCCATTCTCTGGCCTGGATCCGACTGACAGTCAGACGCCCGGGCAGAACTGGGCTCGCAGGCACTTTCGAACGAGGTGCTACCCTCGTGGGACGAAAGTCCCTTTGTAATCGTTTTCGAATTTTTGCCTGGAAAACGAGATAACCAATACTTAGCTCCCGCGAACTCTTCTCGCATGATGTACCACATGCCCTCCGAGCACGCTGTCGATGTGCCGATTTCTAGAATGACACCGGCGGACGTCGCCCGAAGTCCGACGCGCTTTGCAGCGGCGAAAAATGCTGCCAGAGCTGCGAGACTCGGTCTCTGGCGACCAGTCCCAAAAGAATTTCCGAAACTCATCGAAGGAAGGAATCGCCTACCGTCGGTTGCAGTAATATATTCGGCTGAGGTGCTGTCGCTTTTGACTTCCTCGAGAGGTGGTCGGAGCGAAGCCATCCGGACATCTTCCCGACCCGCCGCTTTTTGAGCTCCTGCCGAGCTCGACGTTGAACTTTTGCACGATGACTCTCGTTCGGTGAATCGACTGCTCGAAGATTCGCTGTCTGGAGAGTTAAGATTTTCAGCGGCGACCGTGGCGCTCAGAACTTCGGCGCTAAAACTCCCTGAGCGATGCAAAGTTTTGGGTGAACACATTGAATAGAGTCCGTTCCACTGACGATATCACAATAATGGATCGCGAAAGATAGTTTTCTGCCGCATGCCCGTCCTTGACGGAAAACTCACCGGAATTCTCATCCTGAAAGTCGCACGCAGGCTGCAACAAATACTGGGCGTAGGATATTGTTTGTTTGAGAGAGTCCGACGTGCGGGATCCCCGACGGGGCGCGGAACTCCGACGGGAGCGTGACTTTTCCGACGTCGATTTTTCGGGTGTTTCGTCTTGTGCATCGAACGTCGTGTTCAGGAGGGCGTCGACGGTAGTGAGTGTGGTTGAAGAAGCGTCGAAGGAGGAGGCTTTCGACAATGATTTCTGTCTGCTTGTCTGCGATTTGAGCTCTGGACTCGGAGTCGTCGTCGCAGCCATGGCCGTGGCGTTTTGCGAACTTTGCTGCGGGCAACCCGGGACGGTCTGACGCCCCGAGGCCGTATTCAGCAGTCGATGCTGAGCGCCTTGGAGATCTACTTCCATTATCTCGTCGTCGATGCTGCGGAAGAGAAACGAGATCAAACCGGAGGAACTCCCTCGAGGAAGTCTCCGAGCTGAGACTTTCCGGAATACCCGAATGCAAAAAAACTCAGATCTCGCCTGCCTTTCATCGGTGTCAGAGTCAATAGATGTGTATGCCTTGCGTGAGCTCGAGTCTCGGCTCGCCTTTCGCCTTCTCGAGGATTTCCTACTGGACGATACCGAAGCAGCTGCCGTCCGCGGTGAGAGAGTCAGGTAATCCGGAGGAACTTCTGGAGTTCGCGATGAGGTCGGAGTGACTGAGGTACATGTCGTGTTGTCGGCTGTTGCCGTAGCTGTCTGCGTCGCCTGGGTCCGTTGTAGAGCCCGACGTGCGGCCGACATGCGACCTGACTGACTCAGACTCTCCTCGAATGAGCGCGGCAAGTAATACTGCGTCACGTCTGCTAAATTCTCCTGATTATCCACCGAGAAGGATGAGCAATGGCATACATTACACCTGTGGAGTGGAACGAGCTCATAGTTTCTCGGGGCCCCACGACGCTGCTCATTGTTCATTCCCGTCCATGTGTTCTTCGTGGTAAAGAACAAAAACAACAACAAGAGAGCGGAAAGCCGATACAAGGTTCCGAACAATCATCGGACAGCGATACCGGGATAGGAACGGAGAAGACGGGAGACCGGAATGGCGTTAGAAGATACCCGACCCACAACAAAGGCTCCCACCGATAGGACGGGACGATCAGCCGGGGAAAAAAATCAAAGGAATTCCTCCCGCACGAAATTGAATCAGCAACGGCTGGACCGCAGCAACAACATCCGGACGAGCGAATGGAATCCCAGATATCTAAAGTGTCAAGATGGAAATTGACAGGTGCTCACCTGTTTCGGCTGACATTCAATGGCGTTGAAGTGGCCATGGGTCCAACTAACATGGCATCTACGTCCTCTAAACCTCCCCCGACAGTATTGGATCTAACCATACTCGCACTGCCGTCGATTGGTTCCTGGTGGTGGTTGATCGGTCCTGCGGCAACGGATTTCGGTCTTGGAGTACCGCCGTGGTGACTGGTAGTTCCCCCAGCTCCCCCACCGCTGCTGTTGTTGATGTTGTTGTGAATCTGGCTGTGGTGGTTAGCGTAGTGGAGGTGGTGGTGTCGACTGTCTAACGTCATCGAATATTCGGGCAGCGGAGTAGTGGGTGCTTCGTTGAAGCTGCTGCCTCTCCAAGCAACGTCGTTGAGAGCGTCCACGGATCGGCAGCCCGACACCTGTAATTTTTATCTTTCAAACAGCTGTCCGTGTTCGCCTCCTAGTGTCGAACTGGATATTATTCGTCCTGAGAGTACCGTGCCGGCTCTTCGGACCAGATCAAACGGGGAAGGGTTCGGCTTCGTGCAGAGGGGGTTCGGCATGACTCGCTCGACGTGTCGCCGTGTGACGTCGAGCAAGGGAACTGCCTTGTAATGTGAGATCGTCCGATCTGTATTGATACGATTCGATAGCGGGGATACTCGCCCCACGCTTATTCCAGAGCTCGAATCGAGATCCTCGACAAAAAGAAAACGTCTGCGGCACAAGAAATGGAACGATCGACGTCATCTGCGATATACGGACCTGTTTGTCGGGTTGCGTTTGCGGAACGTACGAGATTTCGTACGATCTATTGGGAAGATAGGTCCTAGACGAGGTGATGCTGCCCTGTGAGCTGTGCTGGCTCTGTAAGCGCGGTCGTGCCGAAGCCGATCGACAAGGAAGCATCCGTATCGATGAGGTTTCGGCCTGCGACGCCGCCTCGGGGTTGTACTGGAAACGGTTCGGATTCTGCAGACAAAACGGCTTCGGTCGATAGCGGAACCCGGCGTCTTCATGTTCGGATGACTCTTTTTTGCTGAGCGATTCATGCGTTTTCGTTCCTGGAAGAATGAGCTCATCTTCACCGAGACCACCTATCCTGAATTATCCGGTCGGGGGGATCCTCCAGAGAATCGCGCGTGCGTTGCACGTATCGTTCTTCTGATGAAGACACGACATTCTACAAGCCGGGAGCACAGCAGGGACTGCCTCTTCGATCGCGATGTCTCACCTGATTGTCGGTTGTCTTCACCATAAGCCACACTGGGTTCGTCATTCTGGATGCAGGACAGCTTTGTTTTTCTATCTTTACTGCTTCCTGCGCAGGAAGCTTTCACTAAACAGCCAAACAGTTTCTTGGATCTCTTATCTTCGAATGTCTGCAGCTCCTTCCTCGTGATACAGTATTGCTCCCTGGAAGGATATTCGTCGACTATATACGCGATATTCGGTTTTGATTCGTGTAGAATTCAATTAAAATATATCTCGCAGGATCCCCCACCTCGGGAAGAATCGCTCCGAGAGACTATACGATCCCCTTCGAACGATCTGTTCAGGCTAAATGAAGATCTCTGGTTCTATTCAACAATTTTTTTCAATTCGGGCCGTTACGCTTAAAATTCCATTCGTAGCTTTGAGAAGACCGAGAAGACACTCCGAGAGATAGAACTCCTCTGCAGACTTTTGATGCATATTCGTTGCTGACGCGGAAGAGTATACCCTGCCGAGACTGCGTCAATCATTTACGCATGCCGAAATAATTCAATCTCCACCAAACGCTTCGACGCGATCGTGAGGCGGCTGTGAAACACGTAAAAAAAAATCCAGTTTCCTTCCCATCGCCTAAGCGTTCGCCTGAAGTTGCTGCCCGTGCCTCCGACTGTCTTCTCTTCGAAAACTTTTTCAGAGGCTTCTTCAGCGAGTGGTCTGGGACGATTCCATTCGCTGTTCCCGTTGGTGTTTTTCCATTTTGTCGAATTGGATGTTCGTGTTCCTTGCTCGCTCGAAACTATGTAATTTCGGACGTTCCCGACGTCGACGGCACGGCAACAAACGACCGGTGTGGAGGGGATGCGGCGTAGAAGAGAAGAATGATGTCGGAACAAAAAGAATCGATGCGAGGTAGGCTTTATGCGCTCTATGTATATTCCCCAGAGGAAGGATATGGAGCGGGTGTATCGTGAGACCTGGGAACTTCTTCCGAAGCTCAATCCGCACAGCATGAATATTCAGCATTCCTGGCGAGTTTTCTAATGTATCGGCTGCGACCAGGCACGTGACGCCAGCAGAAGTCGCAGCGGGTGCCCAACGGTCGAGGAGGAGCAGTCGACATACGAAACGCCGGTCGCAAGGAAGCAGGTGAGAGCAGCAATCGGAACAAGAGAGAAACTTTCTTCGTATGACAAAAAACAGCAGAGAGCAGCGCGCAGCTGTGAGGCGAATTTACCACTCTCTCAGGCCCAGAGGGAGAAGCAGAGCCGAGCTGTCCTCTCGTGGCCAGAACAAACACAATGGAGAACTCCACTGTTGTCCTCTTCTCTTCTCCCGTCTCACTCGAGCCGAAAACTCCGCATCCGACGAGGCTTCCTATAGAGCTGGTCGATACCAACTCGGCACTCCGGACAAAATCTCTCAGCACACTGCTGAGCCGCGACGCTCCCCAAAATATTTCGAGCTCCCTGACATCTCTGGGCGGGAGAGAGACAGCGCCAAGAGGAATCGCCAAATTCGGCTTCTCGCAGAAGAAATGCTCTGCTACTCAGAAGGAGTCACGTTCCTCGCCCGTTCAGAGCTAAGGTCGATTGGAGCTTCACAAAGCGACGAGAGCTTTCTTACCTGGCTGCTACCAAAAAAGTACCGTTTTTATTTCCCCCCCCCCTCTGATCGCAACGAAGTGTACCGAAGAGCCCGATCATAACAAGAATGGAAGGGATTCCTCCCTTTAGCCGCATCTGTTATCGCTCTTCCACGTCCCCTCTGGGAAAGAGGCCAACAGACGCACGAGGAAAGCTACAATCGCTTGCTCCTTCAACCTTTGGCAGGGGATCGATCGGATAGAGCGGCGCAGCGTTATTTTACCTGATGTCTTCCTTCGAGAAGAGGACCTTCGCGCCATTTTTTCCACCCTGGTTCTCCTTGGTGGCCATATCAACTCGATCTTCTCCCACTCTGTTCGCATAGCTAGCACTGGACGCTGCGGGATGCCATCTGGAATCGAAGAAATACGTCAGAAAGCGAAAAACTCATCTTTATAACTTTCTCCCGCTCACTCAGTGCTAATCTGACACCTCCAGCACCGGAAAAGCAGACACTAGGAACGCTGCTGGGAACGATTCCGGACGGAGCCGATGGAGCTGCACGGAAAGTGGAGTCTGTGCGCCGCATTATCTTGGAGGTCTCGTGAGTTATGTCATTTTTTATAGAGCTTCGTTCGGAGCTTGAAAAGGCGCGAGGGAGAGAAAGTTAAGCATTATTGTGATGGCCGCGCGAGATAAGAGGGTGTATCTGTCGGGCGAATATCAGGGTAGGTCTCACTCATAGCACTCGGCTGAGCGCTCCAGTCCGATAGGCAAAGTCTGGGCCCCACGTGATTTCCTTGTGGAACATGGCACATCGCGAAGTGCCTACGCAATCGACGCGTCGTCGACGCGGTATACGATCATTCTTAGGTGATCATATGCCATTGATGGTCAGTATGCCATCGTCAGGAGCGAGGGCGGCTCCTAACTCAGGTGAAGAGAAGTCGGTGTGAGGCTCAGAGAGTGCATTCGACGGAATGACTGTCGCGAGGCAAGGCCACGAACGGATTGCTCCTTTTGAGAATGTCTCGGTGAAATAGTCTTATCTCATCGTACCATCCGGTGGATGACGGGAAACGAGCCGTTCGCTCATAGATTTTTTCCCCGCTCTCCCGTCGGGAATCGCTGTTGCCTCTGTGTCCTCGGCCTCTGCAGCAATTGCTCTCGCCGTTCGCCAGCACTAGTCAAGTAATGGTCCGTGTGATTGTTGCTGCGATCGTGTGTCGCATCTGCATGGGATCTCCATATTTGGCAGCTCCGAATTTCTCCCGGTGGCCGAGTGATCGGCTCGGATGATTGTCACAGGACACTCGGGACTCACTCCTCTGGCACAAAGAGCTCTATATTGTGCCAGGCTCACAGGGAGACGCACAGGGAACGGTGGTCAGAGGCAACAACAAGAGAAACGGCACAGACAGGCAGTCAGTCAGGCAGTCAATCGGTTCGATGGACGGACGGACTGCCCGAAAGCAGTGGCGGCAACAGTTGCAGCAACAACAACGCTCCGTGACTCTGTTAACCCTAATTCACTTACTGAGCGTTGGCCGCTGTTCCTCCCCTCGCGTGAGTCACTCCATGTTTAATTCAACTGCTGTTACAGCCGCAAAACGTGGTTCCAAGCGAGAGAATACCACCTAGATAGACGTTGGAGGTACAGCGAGCGACTCATCGGATGGGCTTGCCGGTTCTGCAACCAGGGTGTTGGATCTTCTCTGTTCGATCGGGAATTCATCAATCAGCTCCTTAAGATCAGAATTCGGGAAGGGAAAATTGTGACACGTCGGCGTCCTTTGTTTTTGAGCTCAAAACGCTCCGATTCCTTCGAAGACATACATATTCATGCATCCTTTCGCCCTATGGCTTACTCGCTACGATTTATCAAGGATCTCCACTGCGGCCACGCCGCTTGGTGGCTCGCTCCGAACACGGAACGCATCCGAATGGGGAACGCGGCGTTTGTCGAGTTGCGAAATCAGATTTGATCAGGACTGCTTGAATGGGCTTATTGGGGAAGCGGCCTACGGACTGCCGCGGAGTTCTGAATCCACTCCGAGAGTCGGCGCCGCCATTCGGTCAAAATGTTTCGGGGAACTTTCAGCGCTGTTGCATCAGGCGCGTAGAGAATACGTGGAGCACAGCATGTGAGTTGTGGGTGTTAAGCGTGGGAGTGAACGGGCCGACCGAGAGCCGACAGACGTCGTAAATAGCACTTAGAATGAAGTTCGTCGGAATAGATGATGAAGTACGCATCTCATGCTATATCTCTCGCGGCTATTGCGTCGACGCCGAAGTATGAACGGTCTGGGGCGAGAAAGTCGGCGAGGGATCGACCACCCGCGTATTCAGACAGAAAACAGCAAACTTCCCTTACACGACCTGTTTCTATGGAAGCAGCCCCTGTCGTCCAGGTGCCCGGACGCAGCCGCTGGTATCTGGCTAATGTTAAGCCCCGATTTTTCGTGCGAACGCCTCAGCCCTCATCGGGTATGGAGTGACCCTCTTCTCAGCTCTAGACCGCGTTCCTCATATCGCTCGGCGCACGATGCTCTTGTGGCCGTTCCCCCCGGAATTCTCGGTTCTAATGGATTCGAGCGGCTCGATTATTTTTCAGCTTCCTGGAGGAGGATGCCACAGAGCTATTAGCCGTGAACGCGATCCTTCAAGAGATTCTAGCGGGTTCCGTACGAGCACAGCGGCCGAGCAAGAAGAATGGAGCTGGAAATGTTTTCCTCGGTGCGTTTCTTCTTTTGGATATTGCGGCGAGATCCGACATCGTGTGTTGTCGGGCGTCCAACTGCATGGGACTCCAGCGTCACTCTTGTGGGCCTTGTCGTTTACACTCCCGTGTCTTGCACCTGACTCTCAGTCACCGTTCAGACATCTATCTTCCACCTGGTCAGAGGATTCTGCTTTGGATTGATCAGACACAGCTGAGGCTGCCCCGGAGCGAACTGATCGAATCTGCTTGCTGAAGTCGCTGCTGAAAGGTCGAGCATAACGTCCTCAACCGATGGTTTCGCGCTCGCAGCTCGCTCCTGACGATTGAGATTCAGCTGCCGAGCTCATATTTTTCATCGCAGTTCCTCGTTCGAAGACACGATCACGGCGATTGTCTTGCCACTTGCTACAACTCTAGGGCGCGACCCGTCTCGACACGATTGCGGGAGGAACGAGAATCACTTTCGAGGTCATGAGACGCGGGTCGGCCACGGCGAATGCTTCCAACTCGAGCTTTTCGCGGCCCTGAAATCGTGGATGGACCCGGAACAGCTGACTCGTCCTGGGCGTAACGTCGAGCCAAGACAACGGCATGGCTCTCGGCCCGTCCGGAGTAATGGAGTGAATGGAGTTTTGGTTCCTCGCGGACGACGATTCCATTCATGCGATACGCTCGGAAGTACTCGTTCAAGCGCGGGAAGGCTGCTTACGACAAGCGTTGCGGCAGCGGTGTGGCCTTTAACTCTTCCGCTCGCCCACGCAGACCGCGTCAGCATTAGTTCAGTCGGTCGCGAGGACGCCACTCCGACTTCCTCTCGAGTGAACGACAGAATTTGTTTCGAGCAGAAGACAAAATGATTAGTTCGGCTGCGCCATCCGCTTCGTTCGCGAATTCCGTCGGGAAGAGACTGACGAAAAAAGATGGACGAATGAGTTCCACTCTTCTTACGGCTTACGCTCGCCATGACGCCGCCAGTCGTTCCGCCGAACGCCTCGGCATCTGACCCTCCCCCTTCCATTCCAGCTCGATATCGACTTTCGGAATCGACGGAGAACGAGGAAACGGAGACTTTCGCGGGCGAGTTCACTCCGAAATCTGCCCGCTGCGTATTTCGTCACTTAAACGAGCCCCGTCTCGACTGAAGTAGGCCTGACGAGCAAGCAGGCCGAACAGAAAGAGCGAAGATGAGTCGGAAATTACTGCCAGAGGGAAGCGGAACGAGAGGGACCGAGCTCGCGGGAAATTTCGGCGAGCTACATTCGTCCGCCGGAATGCATTCGTTGAAGAGTCCCGCAAGCTATAATACATAGGTATGCAGATGGTCTGGAGAACCTTCGATGGATCCATAGTTCTTCGTTGGGGGGCGGCACTACTTGTGATAATTACTCTCGCCGCGGGCCGTTCACGGGGTGTACCTCTTGTATGTCTCGGATGCTTAATTTCCGCAGAACGTAAGACGGCGAACTCGTATCGTGCGAATCAGAGTTTCCTGGTGGGAAGGGGGAGCGGTGGGAGGTCGGGGAGATTGAAGTAGTGGACAGCGATCTATGTGAATCGAGTTCTCCGGAGCTCTTCGGGGACTTGCGAGTCGCTAAGTGCAGCGACAGCATCAGGACTCTGGAGTTCCGCATCTGCAGTGATTGATCTCGTCAATACTTCGCAAATTAGCCCTGTAGAGAGGAAAGGCACGAATGCTCACTTGGAGTTGCATAATGGTGCTCACAATGAATTTCTGTGTTTACGTAAGCTGAGCTCCGACTGGGTGGGGAGACTTTTTCTATGCGGCTGAGTAGAGCCGCATGAGCGAAATGCGGATTCGACGTCAAATTATCTCGTCGAGACAAAATGATCGGTAATGAATCTTGCCTATGATCACCCGCGTGATGCGAATTTTATATTAATGCTCGGGGAACTCGTCCTGACTCTCGATGGCACGTCGGCGTCGGGCCCATTGGACGGCTCCCTCGACGATTGTGAAGTCTCGCGATGAGATCTTGTCTAAATCCGTGTTGGGGATGGAGTGTCTGATCGAGCGGCGCTTGATGATTCGTCTTAGGTAGAACCAAGGATATACTGATGTCTCATCTGAAAACCTCGCAACAGACTGAGGAGAAACGATTCTCATGTCCCGACGAAGAGGGTGCCTCTCCAACTATTGACGGATCTAACTCCCATTCCAGGAGTACATACGAATGCTCGGACCCAGTTTCTCCCAGAAGGTTCCCGAAATGAATCGTGGGATATTTCCACGGTTCCCCGAGGGAAGGAATCCGCGAGCTTTGGTCGATCGACCTCCTGCGCGTTCCTGGTCGAAGCGCAACAGGCCCGTCTTTCCCCTTACGATAGGGCCCGCTCGGGGCAAGGAAAGTTATTTCAACTGGGATCAGCAGCATGAGTCCATGAGCCCGAATTGAGCTCGAAAAAAGAATTATTCGCACAAGAAGCGGTGGGGGAAACGCATTACGATTCATCCAGTCGACGCATTTTCAAGCAACTTCATTGATTCCAAGTCCGCATATTCGATCCCCGATATTCAAAACCTGTTCTAGGAAATCCACGTGGCCTGTCGGAAGTTCGCCCAATCGGAGAACGACGTGCTGCGTCTTTAGCCGGAGTCTGGGAGGGCTCT